AGTCTTAGGAGAGATTTTGCCTCACTCTGCGTGTTTTACCGCTTGTACAATGGATTGTGTTCAGAGGAATTATTCAATATGTTACATACGGCCACTTTCTATCATCGTACGGTTCGCCATCGACAGGGAGTTCACCCTCATACCCTACAGCCTAAATGGTCGTGTACAACGCGGTTTCAGAGATGTTTTCTCCCACGAACACTCAGGTTATGGAATGAGCTCCCTGCCGAGGTTTTCCCAAGAGACTACAGCATGGGGTTCTTCAAAAGGGGTAAAGAGGTTTCTTCAGGGTCGGCAACGCGCGCGTAATGCCTCTGGTATTGCAGGCGTTCATAGGCTACGGTAACCGCTTACCATCGGGTGGGCCGTATGCTTGTTTGCCACCTCAGTGGTAAATATATATATATATGAACTTAAATTTATGTTCCGAGATTTAGAACACTGTACTATTAGCTATAAACAGCGATCTCGACGATCGTAACACTAGTACAAATTCAATTTTGCTGTTCCGAAGTATTGTTTAGAAAAAGTTAATTGATCTTTTAGGAGAATTTTACATTATGGATCTACCTATTAATAAATTTAAGACTGTTATTAAAAAAACACTTATTTAACGAAGCCACACTAAACGAGTACTTTAATGACAAATGTGCATGGTGTTAGTCGATTATGCACGGGCTTTTTAATGATCATGTAGTTTTGGACATAAATAAATGTACATTTAAATAAATACACATATTTAAATGCACATTTATTTATGTTTGCACATACATAATGTCAACAGATGTTTTGCTCTTTTGATGGCAAAGCAATAAACTGAGTTGTAACCGTTTTGTGTTACTATGGCACTCGAATGAAGAAAAAAAAAAAGGAAATTGCTGTTTTATATATATTTTATACAACTTAGAATAGTAAACAAGCTAACGGTTCACCTGGTGGTAAGTGGTAACCGTCGCCTATAGACATGAGCAGTACCGTGGACATAATAGAGCATACTGTTTCGCCCATAATACTCCCCATGCGTTGCCATTCCTGAGGACTCAGGTGTTATTCCTCTGTACCTTGTAAATTCACGCCATATCCCACCCTTCAAACCGAAACACAGCCATGCGAACACACACTGCTTCACGGTTGAAACACGAATGTACTGCTATATTTTACTTGATTTTTTTTCATAACACGAAGATGTCAATCAAGCATACAGCCCGCCTGATGCCTGATGAGCCCATTATAAGAAGTGATAATACATTATTTACTTAATTTTCCTCTAGAAGGATATTGATAACCAATAACAGTGACGTAATAAATGGTCACAGTGACAAATGTGGGGGACATTTGCATGCTTGAACACTCCACGCTCTGACTCCTGTCGTCAATGTGGCATATCTAATTACACAATATGTAAATTGGTCTGTGTCGCTCAAGTCATAGGTTATGTCGAACGTTGTGTGTTATGTGTAGGGCTGCCACCTACTTTTTACTTAATAAAAATATCTTTTATCAGCCACCTTTTATCATCTCACCGCTCGCCGTCTACAGGGAATTTATCCTCACACGCTTGAACCTAAATGGTCACGTACAGTGCGGTTTCAGGGAAATTTTCCCCCGCGAATGCTCAGGCGTTGGAATAAGCTCCCTGCCGAGGTTTTCCCTAGAGACTATAGTATGGGGTTCTTGAAAAAGGGTATTCTATTATTTCTTCAGAGTCGGCAGAAGCGCACGTGACACCCCTAGTGTTGCAGGCATCCATAGACAGTTTACCATCAGACGGGCTGTGTGCTCGTTTGCCACATTTCTGGTGTAAAAAAAATTTAAATACTAATTAATACAAATCCTTTCATTGCCTCGTGTGAAAAAAAGAATTCTGGCACGCTGGCTTAACTTTCGATGGTCACAGATTCAGTTTCCACGCAATACAAACATTTGTATTTATGATTATGTCTGTTTGAATTGGTCTGGGAGTTTCGACGTATTACATGTACAAAAAATATATACCAATTGTCAAGCAGCCATAGTACAACCTATACTCAGTGGGGGGAAAGGGATTGTTAGTAATGGAGACTGAGAATCCCTATAAACCAATATACCCAACTAGGTCGACCTCCTCGCGGTGCCCCCTGGAAACTATCATGGTTAATTCCTGATGAATTCATCATAATAGGCTAACTGGCCTTTTTTCATTCTCATCTATCACCCTTCACTGGTGCTCCACCAGCGTATCCCGTTAGCGCAGGCGGGGTTATTCCATTTTCACCCATCAAAAAAAAAACCTCTACTCAGTTTGGGACTAGATGGCGCTGTGTAGTATTTATATATTTTTTTACAGAATTTTATCATTTTTTCTCAGTACTACTATTAATTATAATATATATGGCACGTTCTACTTTCAAAAATTCGGGACCTTTTGTTTCTCACAAAGGCTTTTATTCATTCATTCAGGGTCTGCCTTTGATCCGGGCACTTTTAATTAACTAAACAAGGTTATTTATCAATCCCTATGGAAACAATAGAAAACGGATTTCACATGAAGAAAGCCGCTGGATTTTTTTCTGTTATAAATTAAACACAAATCTATTCCAATCCGGTGCACAAAAAATTCACAATTCAAAACAAAAGTTCACTAGTTTATTTAAAGCCATTATTTCAACACTTTCTTTCGATTTAAATTCTTAATTTCAAATATATCATATGTAATTTTTACATAGAATTTATTGGAATTAAAATCAAGTCTTTATTTATATTACCGGGATTATAAGTAGACTATGTTTCTCTCAAAACAAATGCTATGTATACCAAATTTTATGACGTTTGGTCGAGCCTAGCGCTGTTCAACGGCAAGAAATAACAAACAGATTCACTTTAACATTTATTAGTAACAAAACCTTTAACGAGAACTTAAATTAAGTACAAAAAACAATATAGAATAATATTTAAAAACCAGTGGCAACCGCGTGTAATATTTGACGAGTGAAGCCCCAATCCGGTTCGGGCCGTGACATTAGCATTACAGCCGCCTTGAGACCTTGACACTCAGCCAATGAAAGTCTCCGCAAGTAAAAGGTAGACAATTTCATTACCTTATACACATGTGTGACATCACCGTGAGCTATAGCTTGATAAAAGTGTATAGTTCTATTAGATAAACCAGTGGAAGACTTTGTACAAAAGTCGTTTGCTTGGGTACCTCTGTCCCATTCGTGTTTCTATCGTGAACCTGTTGTTTTTGCATGGCTGTGTTTCGATTTGAAGGGTGAGATATGGTAGTGAATTTACAGGGTACAGAGGAATAACACCTGAGTCCTCAGTAATGGCAACGCATGGGCGAAACAATATACTCTGTTATGTCCATGGTACTGCTGACGCATGGACTATATAGACGACGATTACCACTTTCCATCAGCTTGTTTGCCATTCTAAGTTGAATAAAAAAAATATATTTGCATTATTAAAACTGGGATTTAGTTTACCTTATCAAACCCGCCCTAATCCGAGCAGTTAACCAGTGATAAGTCTAAAAAGTAGTGCGCTCAGATAAACCTGAAAACTAGAGTTCACACACACGAAAGTGGGTCACGGCGACACGATCGACTCACACGTCGTGAGATACGATAATTTGCAATAATTTTTTGTGCAATATTTCGTGTTTCTATTCGTAATTAAGTCTGTGTGTCAGTCACACGGCGGAATTGTTATTATTTGCTTGAAATTGTTCGTTGACTCAAAATATGGCCGCTTGCCAAGTAGAGGAAATATTTCTGTAAACTCACAACAAGAGATGTAGTTCTAGTTGTCATGTATGAGTCAAATATAAGTGTATAAAACTTCGTTCTACTTTAAACAACACTTCTCATACAGACGGAACTATCATTGTGATTACGACTTCGTCTAATAACCGATACAGACTTGAATGCACATTAAGAAATCACAGTAATGTGTTTAAGAACAAGTAATCTATGCTTTATACAACACCAGAGGGAGACTTTGTACAAAAGTCGATTGCTTGGGTACCTCTGTCCTATTCGTGTTTCTACCGTGAAGCAGTTCTGTTTGCATGCCTGTGTTTCGGCCGTCAGCCCACCTGATGGAAAGTGGTAACCGTCGCCTATAGACATGAGCAGTACCATGGACATAACAGAGTATACCTACTGTTTCGCCAATGATACCTCCCATGCGTTGCCATTCCTGAGGATTCAGGTGTTATTTTTCCTTACCCAGTAAATTCACGCCATATCCCACCCTTCAAACCGAAACACAGGCATGCAAACACAACTGCTTCACAGTTGAAACACGAATGGGACAGAGGTACCCAAGCAATCGACTTTTGTACAAAGTCTCCCTCTGGTGTTATTGGTGTTATATAGAATTAACCACCATGGCTTCCTGGGGGATCCGCGAGGAGGTCGACCTGACAGGGTATATTGCTAGCAATGGGCCTTGTAGTCCGCAGTGCTAACAAACCCTTCCTCCCCTGTGGCTTATTATTATTATTACAATTGTAATAATTACTTATACATATTAGTTATTGCATTATTCACAATTCTCCTTCCCTCTTTAATTTCCTTATCCCTAAATTTTAGTATACGAGTTGTATTTACTATTTCCGTTATTTTCAATATTTTCTAAAGGAATTGGGCGAGGATTATCTATTATAGTCAATGGTCTACCCCTCTGTTGGCAATGATAAAACTTTTTAAATTCAATTAACGATGTCATAACTAAATAATTATGACTTTCCCTATAATTTTTCTTGACAATATTAGTTTCGGGATGTACTTTTCCAGTAGCTCTTTCATTTTTTGAATGTATCTCCTTAATATCGAAGTTTGCTTTGTATTCACATGTATGTATGTATTATATTATCTGTGATATGTAGCTCACTTTACTCTTTTTAAAATTGGTAGCGTATATAGACCTCATTGTATGTATACCAAAATATACGTATCAGATTCTCATTTTTAAACCAGAATAAGTTACTTAAATTGTGCATATTCCTGTTACAGGATCCGACGCGTGTGGTGTGCCCGGTCATTGATGTGATCAGCATGGACACCTTCCAGTACATTGGAGCCTCTGCAGACCTGCGGGGAGGGTTTGATTGGAACCTTGTTTTCAAGGTAAATATCGTATCTACTAACTATCCAACTAGTTATTCTTTTTTATACGTCTCCAACACTAGGAACTTCTAGACAATTCTGAAGAACCAAGCAGTAGGTGAGAGTCTAAAACGCTTATCAGAATTGATACATGTTCGGAAAGATGTAAATATTACACGACTATTGAATATGAATTTTATTTATTTTCTTATATTTATTTATTTATTATATATTTTTTTAAAGTATTTTATTTCTATAGGCGACAGTTACCACTTTCGATCAAGTGGGCCGTCAGCTTGTTTGCCATTCTAAGTTGCATAAAAAAAAATTGAAATCAGTCTTTCAAATCTTAATTAATATTTAAAGTTTACTTCATTATCATTTAATAACCAGTTTAATAGAACGGACGAAGGTTTAATCTGAAACTTTTTCAAATCATCGTATTTATAGAATAATTTTACAAGTAAACAGAGAGTGGATATTGTAATGTTGTAAAAGTATACGAGTACAGTGTAGTTGAATACCTATAAAAGGTATGTGCATTAATATTGTATTATATTTAATGTTGTTATACCTATATGTTATAATGCAATATGCTGTTGGTGTTCCTTAAATAAATAAATACTATCTGAAAAATAACTTACACTTAATAATACTTAACAAAAAATACACAAACAATAATAAACATGTAGGTAGCTTAGCCGTGTGGTCCCGGCATAGAATAGGCCAGCGTGGGTATCGTAAGAGCCGACAAAGGGAGGGCGAGGGATGGGCAGCAGCGTCCCTGTTAAAACATCTCTAAAGCCTGACTGCGGTTGCCAATCCGCCTATCAAGCATGACAGCTACCGGCAAAACCCCCCAAGGGGGAGGCTTATGTTCAGCAGTGGACAGTTAAAGGCTGACATGATGATGATGATGAATATAAAGGTGAACATATTTTATACCGTTTTGAGATCTATATATACAGGTACACAATAAACTTTGCCACGAAATCGCGATACAATCAAATAGCCAGGCAACATTGGGTTCGATTCTGAGATTCCATCCTATGAACCTATATAAACCATATAAACCTATATAAACTATATATATTTTACCAGAGGGAGACTTTGTACAAAAATCGATTGCTTGGGTACCTCTGTCCCATTCGTGTTTCTACCGTGAAGCAGTTGTGTTTGCATGGCTGTGTTTCGGTTTGAAGGGTGGGATATGGCGTGAATTTACTGAGTACAAAGGAATAACACTTGAGTCCTCAGGAATGGCAACGCATAGGGTGTATCATGGGCGAAACAGTATACTCTGTTATGTCCATGGTACTGCTCATGTCTATAGGCGAGGGTTACTACTTTCCATCAGGTGGGCCGTCAGCTTGTTTGCCATTCTAGGTTGTATAAAAAAAACATATATAATATATGTATTTGTATATATGTGTGTATGTATATATGTTTGTATATGATAATATTTATATAATAGTGCGCCACCTACTCTTTGTCTTTTTCTCAATGTCCTCTACCCAAAGGTTGTCTGGAAGAGATTGCTTAGCGATAAGGCCGCCTTTTGTATCACTTCTCATTAATATTTACTGTATTTGTTATTTCTCTGTTTACTTGGTGCAATAAAGTGTAAGTAAATAAATAAACCTACCAGTATATTAATATTATAAACGCGGTGTCTAAGGATGGACAGATAAACAAATTATGGGCAGCTTTGTTGCTTTACTCTTTCATGCAAGAACTATCAAACGTATTTGAACGAAATTTAGTACACGGGGAGGTGTATCCTAATTTAGGATATGGGATATTTTATGTACTGATTGTCGCGAGCAAAGTCACAGAATACAGCTAGTGATAAAATAAAAAAAGACACCGAGTGTTAGGCAGTTAAAGCGGTATTAAATCTAGCCTCAAGGCAAACAAGTGACAGTATCGCTCCATACTCAACATTTTAGTGCATGGAACTTAACAATATTCGATTAAAGCTATAAAGTACTATATGAAGGCATATCTCTCTCTTCGTCCTCTTCTTTACTGAAGGTCGTGTCCTTGAAAGGTGTCTGTTGCCTCTCTTATGATGTTATTCCATTTTACACGGTCTTCAGCTTCTCACAGGGCAGCTGCAATCGACAGTCCCGTAACGGCGGTTACTTGGTCCGACCATCGATTAGGCGATCGTCCGCGTGGTCTTTTTCCCTCTATCTTGCCTCTATAATGAAGGCATATACGAGTAAAAAATATTATATTATTATTAAATATGCGTTGCCATTCCTGAGGACTCAGATGTTATTCCTCTGTACCCTGTAAATTCACGCCATATCCCACCCTTCCAACCGAAACACGGCCATCCAAACACAACTGCTTTACGGTTGAAACACGAATGGGACAGAGGTGCCTAAGCAAACAACTTTTGTACAAAGTCTCCCTCTGGTGACTTGAGACTGACTTAACTTAAGAATTGGCAATTTACAACAAATTATTGTAAACTTATGTTTAACGAACGACTTACCTACCACATCGATATTATCTTACGCCAGAAAAAATACAGCTTTGTCTCTTCAACTCAGTAAAGTAACCTGCCGAGGTTTTCCCAAGAGACTACAGCATGGGGTTCTTCAAAAGGGGGGTAAAGAGGTTTCTTCAGGGTCGGCAACGCGCGCGTAATACCTCTGGTATTGCAGGTGTTCATAGGCTACGGTAACCGCTTACCATCAGGTGGGCCGTATGCTTGTTTGCCACCTCAGTGGTATAAAAAAAAACAGTTTTTTTATACAAATGTTACAAAACATAACCTACCTGTGAAATGACACCATGCTTTCTAATAACACCACAAACTTTGTTTTCCAGTGGGAGTACCTATCGCACGCGGAGCGCAGCGCCCGCCTCAGCGACCCCACCCAAGTGATCAGGACGCCCATGATCGCTGGCGGACTGTTCAGCATGGACCGGCAGTACTTCAACAAGCTGGGCAAGTACGACATGAAGATGGACGTCTGGGGCGGAGAGAACCTTGAAATATCCTTTAGGTAACCGTTCAACTTTGTAATTGGCTTTCAAACTATGTCTAGAACACTATATTCAATGATCTAAATTCAATTCAAATCATCTTTTTTCAAATATACTTGTTCACAATCACTGTTACATCGCATTTTTTTATGAATGCATGGTTCAGAAAGTTGGTATCTGCCGAGCAGAGACCGCAAGAAACTCAACAGTTACTCGTTTAAATCTCTGTTTTACATTATGTGTATTTATTTAAATGAATAAAATTACATGGTTGTCAAAAGCCCGTGCATGATCGACTAATACCATGCACATTTGTCATTCAAGTAATCGTTTAGTGTGTAATAGGCTTTGTTCAATAATTGTTTTTTAATAAAAGTTTTAAATTTATTAAAAGGCAGATCCAAAATATTCTTCGGTATCTTATTATAACATTTGATGCCCATTCCCATAAAAAATCTATTAACTTTTTCTAGAAATTACTTTATATGGACTTAAATATGAACCAGTTTTATATAGCTCTTAAGTATCGCGAGAAATACTATAATATATTATAAATGCAAAAAACTACATGATACATATTAGGTATATTCGCCAAATAAAAGATATATTTCGTCTTGTTCCTTGAAACATCAAATTTCAATTAGAAACTCTATAGACTAACTTCCCACTACTGGAGGGAAAACAAAAGACAATAAATAATCAAACAACCTCTCTCGTACTTGCTGTGCCCAACAGGGACCATAACTGAAGTTGAAATGTTATCTACTAATCACATTATGGAATGCAATAAGAAATAAATAAATAAACTTGTCTTCACAATTATAATATGTATTATGGATTAAAATACTTATCACTCTGTATGAATAGAGGCAACTAAAGTTTTCCTCCCCATTTTGCAGAGTATGGCAGTGCGGTGGCTCTCTGGAAATAGTTCCGTGCTCGCGAGTAGGTCACGTGTTCAGGAAACGTCACCCGTACACATTCCCCGGCGGTTCTGGGGCAGTCTTCGCGAGAAACACCAGGAGAGCCGCCGAGGTGTGGATGGATGACTACAAGGAGTTATACTACAGGTCGCAACCGCTGGCGAAGCAAGTTGAATATGGAGAGTGAGTATTAACTATTTTTTTACGATGTTAATACTAATCGTGTGAGGATAGTTACTCTCTGGCTGATGTCAAAAGATTCTAGACCGTCTTCTTACCAGCTTTATGGAAAGTAGTAACCGGAGGGGGGGGGGGGAAGGAAGGCTAGATAACGATAGATTTAGAGAACGACGCTTCCGAATCGACCGCAATGTGTCTACGAAACGTCTCATTTTACTCATAGGAATATGGTGGGAAGGGGTAATATGGACTATCAGTCCCATTGCAATTGCAGCAATATATCCTGTCAGGTCAACTTCCACGTGGTCCTCCCTGGAAACTATCATGCTGAATTCCAGGTGTATTCATCACACGAGCTAACTGACCTGCCCTTTCATTTTCACCTATCATCTGTCACTGGTGGCCCGCCAACGTATACCGGATTACCATTTCATTATCATCCATTAAAAAAACCGTCACTATAAACATAACTAGCATCGTGGAACATTACGAAATATAAAGGTTCGATTTCATAAATTCTTATGGCCAACTTCCTACATTCCGTTGTCCGCTTCCTTATGGTACTTACGTGTTTGTCCCATATGACTTTAATATTTAAATGAGGTGTATAACATTTTTATAATTTTATTATTTAGAATTATGTCAAAAGAATAATCTAATCTGAGAAATAACGATAACATATATTGGCCGGAAATCTATAAATATTACATAATGAGTTATAATTATTTATTTAACTCTTATTTGTACCAGAAACATAAAAATATATAAAGACAATTAAACAATTCAAGTGAAATACAGTAGCATACAATACAGATTAAATTATACACATAAAGGTGCAAAAGCTGTTCTTATCGCTAGAGTAATCTCTTACAGACAACCTTTGGTTAAAAGGAGAACAGATAGAAGTGGGAAGGTAGCGCAAGAGTAAATTAATTTTGCACGTGCATAAAATACAAAAACTTATATTGCACAAAAATTATAAATACATAAAATCAATAACAACAAAGTTTATAGAACAAACACGGAATAATCAAAATAGATTAAATAATTTTAAATATCTAATTGGGTAATATGTAAAATTAAAAGCGATTTCTGTACATAATAAACATGCCTTGCCCAAACTGTAAAAACATCGTTTATCTATGTTTTTTTGTGTAACATTCTAAGTTGCAAGCAAGTTGACAGCTTAATGGAAAGTGGTAACCGGCGCCTATAGACATGAGCAATTCACTGCCATATCCCACCCTTCAAAACAAAAAAACAGCCATGCAAACACAACTGCTTCACGGTTGAAATTCGAATGGCACAGGCACCTCGCCTAAGCAAACAATTTTTGTATTAAGTCTCCTTCTGGTTTCTGTGTCTAGTCTGATATGTGTTTTTCCGGTTTTCGAATAGAATCATATAATGTATAAAGAAAACTTCCACCAAGAGCTCATTCCAAATATTATGTGACCTGAAATTAATTCTGTCTCCCCAGCATATCAGAACGCGTCGCCCTACGAGAAAAACTCCACTGCAAACCGTTCCGCTGGTACTTGGAGCATGTTTACCCGGAGCTGCAAGTGCCGGCTATGGCTGGAGGGTCCCATGTCATACGACAGGGAACCCGCTGCCTCGATACTATGGGGCATCTTGTTGATGGAACTATAGGTAACATTTATTGATTTTTTTTTTACAACACAGAGGGCAAACGAGCATGCGGCTCGGGAGCATGACGGTAAATGACTACCGTCGCTCATAATCACCCACAGCACCAACGGCATTGCAGGTGTGCTGTCGGCCTTTTAAAAAGGAATAAGCTCTTTTCTTGAAGGTTATGTTGTAGTATCGGTTCGGAAATACTATTGTTGGAAATTGATTCCGAAGCGTGGTTATGCGTGGAATAAAGTGCCTTGAAAAACGCACTTTATGGTAGGTTGTACGTAATCTCAATCGAACTATCAATTACTTAGCGGACCCTCCGGTGGTTACTGAATAATTATTATTAAAAACTAACCGGCGCGCGTGGCGACAGGCATGTACCCGTGCCACAACGCGGGCGGCAACCAGGAGTGGCGGTTCGAGGACGGGCTGCTGCGCCACCACGGGCTGTGCGCGGCGCTGCGCGGCGCGCGGCCGGCGCTGGCGGCGTGCGCGCGCGCCGAGCCCGCGCAGCGCTGGCGGCGGCGCGGCGCGCGCCTGCAGCACGCCGCCAGCGGCCTGTGCCTGCACGCCGCCGCGCCCGCCGCCGCCGCCGCCGCCGCCGCCGCCGCCACGCCCGCGCTCCTCGCCGCGCCCTGCCGCGACGACGAGCCCGCGCAGCTCTTCACCTTCTAAACTCCGGCTCCACCGACCTACGACGCGTCCGAGTAGATAACATGTAGAAAGCTATCTTTATACGGTGGCTCGTCGACGAATACGGTGGAGAAACGCTGATCGGTCCCCTGCGCTGCTACGAAGTGAGCCGTTCGCCGTTTAGATGGTTCGCTCGCGGTTCATAGACGGTGACCTGTACGAGTGAAAATGATCAGGGGCCAGAACTGGATGAACGATGACAAGTCGTATTTAGATATTTCATTGTCGGTGCTCCGTTGATGAGGTGTCGACAGTGAGGAACTGACTAACCTGTCTAATTCCGAATTTTCACTGTAGGATCTTAACATAATTGTCCCCAGATGCAGTTGGAGATATTTGTAAATGTTTACAGCTGTCAGAGATTACTGTTGTGGTGAACGTAACATTCGTCGAGCCCGAATTGCGCCAGTACGACACAGGCTGTACGCCCAGAAAAAAATGTTGTAACACTTTTATTTTTAAAAATTGTTTTAGTAGTGTTTCCGTCAAGTGCAGCTAACTTCCTGACGTCATCTTACCTCTACGGGATCTAAAAATAAATAAATACACTTATGTCTGCAATTCTGCATTTGATCAATATTTGTCTATTTTAACCGTTGTGGTGAACGTACGAAGTAGTTCGAAATACTTTTATCAATATTTCCCACTAGCAAATTAGTTAGTAAATGACAACTCTCTGAATTCGAACCACGTCCTTTGAAAACTAAAAGTCGAAGTAGTAAAACACTAGGCCGAGGATATTATATTAAAACTCGTCTCGAAATATATGTATATAAAAGAGAAAAAGAAAGTAGATATAATGAAACTTACGATGATGTTAAAGGTAGCTCCAAGTTAAATTTATCGCCAATACTATTTTTATGGTGATAGGTAGTAAACAAATTAACTTAGTCACTAAAAGAAAGACTTAAAAATACTCGCTTTAAATTCGAATCGATACTTATCATTGTAACTGAATTTATGTTAGGGCACCACAGAATCGGAAGACTTCCTTGAGTGGGTGCCAAACTATTTGTAAATATTGTTATATTTTTAAGACTCAACATTCCGTTAAGAGTTATTTTCTAGTAACCACTTCGTTTTATTGAATCTTATATTTCTTGTAACTTCTAACGCTTTATAGGTAGCTACTTTTATATTTACTATTGTTTTCTTTACAAAAACTCGAATATTTTACTTTGGTCTGTTTTTTTTTTATCTAATTCTAAGTTTTATGTAATTTTTATATTATACAGGGTGTAAGAGACAGGTTGACCAAAATGAAAACAGCTGATTCAAATTAAGGGTCTGAATCAGATAGCAGATTATTTTCCCACCTCCCTCCCTCCCTACCGCGGAATCCTCGACAAGAGCCCCTACAAACATACCCACACATCGCACACACCGCCCCCGCCGGCGGGGGCGAAGAACCCTCGCGACACACAGTCCGCGCGCGATCAGATTTGCGCCCGAGTGCATAACAACCGTCGCTATCTCACCCACCCAGACGTACCGACCCTTCGCCGCCCCTCGACGGGGGTCGAAGTGCGGTGGCCTAAGCCGAGGCCGAGTCACTCTGGCGCCCTTAGGCGCACACCGCAGTCCATAAGAAAGAGTCGACAATTCTGTCGCTCCCCTCTCGCGGGCTTGGAGTGCCATCAGCACTCGCCCCTGCATTCGCTTACGGTGAAGCTGTAAAGGCCACTCACGGCCAACAGCAAACACATTAAAAAAAAAAAATATTTTCCCACCGGAAATGCACCACAGCCATATGATTAATAATTCTTAGTTTAACGCCGCGCTATGTATTTGAATATTTACAATCCACATGTCGCGGTATACCTACAGCGCGCGCCTCTATGTAGGTATTTTTCGTAAGCTTGTCACAGAATACGTGTTCTATGCATAGGGACAACGCCACAAGCGCATGCGCTTGTGGCGTTGACCTCACACATACACAGCTGATTCCGAGCGTCGTGGTAAAATTTTAATACCAATAAAAGATTTTTTTGATATTTCATAGTATTTCACCATAAAATATTATTTCTTAATATAATGACGTAATATTATAGGTTACAAGATTTTTAATGTAAAAAAAGGAGATTTTTTTTTTTAATTTTCCGTTCAAAATAATGATCTAACTTCACTGTTTCAGTTTTTGCCAACCTTTCCCTTACACCCCGTATAGTTTTGTGAATATCTCATAAATATAATTTTAGTATCTTTTAATATATTGTAATAGTTACCAGTGTAATGTAGTTATTCGAATATTTCAATATAAGTGCCGGGAATGTGGAATGTGAATATAATGTAGATGTAGTAAAATGAAATCACTTTGTAAGCAATTAGTTTATCTATTTGTAGTCACAGTGCACCTGTGTACAACACAACTCCAAGTAACAAATTTTCATTTATGTCATTTCAAAATTAAAGTTATCATTATTTTATTTTACAATAATATAGTATATAATTATTACAATACAAGTGATTTATGTCAGTATAGCAAGCTAAGTGTCGAGATGAAAGTTTGAATGACTGGACTCGATACATTTGTGGAAGGTTATTAACATCAACTTTTGAGAAGTAATTGATGTACATGATTGTAGTCAGTCGAGTCGATTCTAATAATAACCGCTGTTGTGCTACCGAAAAGTGAAACATCGGAATATATACTGAAAAGTACAATAGACCTTCGCAAAGTAAGTTTTAGATTTATCAATACATACGTTAGGTTAATAGGTTATTGAAATTAAGATAATACTATGTAAAATTGAGGCCTATTCACATTCGCTTATGAATTATAGTAACTCGTTAATACTAAGTATAATTTCCTTTACAACTTGAAATACTCGGTCGCTTAGGTTAGTTTTTATACTGTAATAGGACGATAATTTTCAAAAAGTATTAATTATTTGTAAATAATCACAATTTCACCTTTTAGAGGAAGAATTAACTTCTTGGTTAATTAAAGATATAATTTATCAAATCATCGAGATTGCCCATTTAAACGAACGTACCAACGTATCATAATACAAGCTCAATATATACAAATTAAAGATTTTTCTTTAATTATATTTCATGTAATTTCATCTATATTATAATATACAATAAGAAAACACTTACCTATAAAAAATGTTAATTGAAGTTAGTTCAATTGGTTCATTGTGACGAACTCATTAGTTATTTACCAATTAGGTTTCTAGGGAGGGGGAGAAGCGAGATTACAGCACAAGGGTAACCTGAAACGATATATTGCTACTAATACGAAGTCATGTGCCCTCATAACTAACAATCTGCTCCCTGACATGTGTCTAGTGTAACCTAAATTCATGCAATTTATTGGCATCAAGTCAGTAATTATGACATCCATATAAACAAATATTTCATCAATTTTGATATACGTAGAAACTATTGAACTAAGATATTATATAAATTCGGTTATATCTATATCCAAAATATAAAATATTAAACCCAAGTTTTTATGATATTTGCTCGACAACAGCTCTTTGGAGTAAAATGTTTTGATATTAGAATATGGCAATATCCTTCTATAAGGTCAAAGGTACAGTTGTTTCTTATAGAACGTACGTACATAGATGAACTGTCACCTTCTCAATATTTAAAGATTCTCGTTATACTAATCATATGAATTTATATACTGGCCTATTTTATATAGATTTAGAATAATATTAGTAAAGGAATTAAATTTATTATGTTCTTTTGAGACTACATTCCAGTAAAGTTTAATTTCTTTGAGAATAATGTATTCAATGTTACCCTGTACATACACACACACACACACACACACACATATATATATCTATATATATAAAACCTGGTCGAATGTACTTACAAATATATAAAAAATATATACAATAAAATTACATAATAAATAGTATATGTTGATTTAGTATTACATTAAACAGGTTAATTAAAAATATGTAAAATGCACAAGAAAATTCTATTAATCGAACAAAAATGACAATGTATACTTTCCATTTCTTATTAGTTGTGTACTTAAAATTACTTATAATTTGTCGTTGATTTTAAAATATTTTAAAATGGCATTGTGACTGCCCTAGTCATATTTTGTTGGAATATTATATTAATAATATTTTTGTTCAGTATATAAAAATGCGTGATTTAATTTTAGTGAGAGCAACATTTGATAAATAAAAGACATTTTAAGAATTACATTTTAATTATTTCTTAATATCGACACCCCGTAAACTAGAGAACAAAGCCGTCCAAGAATAAAAATTTAGGATTTATTAGTTTTGTAATTCCAAAGCCATATACTTTGAATTTACATAATTAAAAAATATATTTATATACCCACGCAAGTAAAGAGGAATTGTAACACAAAACTATACAATATATTACATTGCTTGAAAATTCGAGTTATTTTAAATACACAGTCGGGACTTCACACGATGTAAAAGCCTTGACAGGTAAATAGTACCTACATACCTCCTTCTTTGTTACCGACGTTTCGATGTGGATTGCACCACGTCGCAGTCATGACAGGGCTGAAATGAGCAGCGTCTTCGTCTAGCACCTCGCGCAGTCTCCTCAGGTATCCTCACACTGTCACCACTATTATCCATACTGCGTTTAAACAAATTATCGTAGCAATAAAGAAACTGGTACTATTTACCTGTAAAGGTTTTTATATCGCCTTAAATCCCGATTATGTATTTAAAATATGTGTAAACAACAACAAGTTAAACAACGAAACGAAAATTTAAAATTAACTAATTCGAGTTATGGCTAGCTCAGTTCAAATATTGTACATTTTTCGTATAAGTAACAATATATACAACATAGGAAAGAAATATACATCTAAGAAATATATACTTATACTATTTTATTAATTAATTATAATTTCTTATAATCAAAAACCAATCGTCTATTAATTCATACAACACTATTTTCACTGATGAGACATGCTCATTTTAGTCTTGACGTAGTTGCCAATGATTTTAATACTGCGGTACGCGTAGTTGGGCGACAGCCGCTGCCGCAGCAGGTAGTAGCCGAGGAAGTTCATCAGCAACAAGATGACCACCAGTACTCCGAAGTCGAACCAGAACGACACGCCCGACATGCCCATGAGTCTCAGAAACGTACTGAAATTGAACATAAACTAATATTGTTATTGAAATTTTGGCATTAGGATAAATAATTCTTGATTTTTATATACATTTTTAATATTTTTCTACAAATTATTTTTATTTAATCAATTTAAAAACTGATCTCTTATTCATCATCATCTTCCTACCCATTTGGGGTCGGCATAATATAATTTTATACATATTACTAAAGAATTTGGCTTATAGTTTTACGACCGGCTCCCTGCCTGACGTCGAAAACAGATCTTTTAATACATTATGGAAAATTATTGCTTCGAAAGAGGCTTTTATATAACAGTAAACCATGGATAAGTGGATAAAAACTTCGATACATGATAGAGAAGCTATATCAAAATTTAATATACTGTTCGTAATCAAATTAATTAGAAATTGATATACAAGCGAACAGTTCACTCGATAACAGTAATAATCATCATAAGTTGTACTAACATGAATATCATATATGGCATATCATAATAAACTGTCGTGGATAAAGTTTTCATTTGAGGAATACTCACACGATGCTCTTATACTTGCAGTAATCCTTATCGTCAGGACACACGAGATCTTCCTTCCTCTCCCCATAGATAGCAGCTATTAAACCCTCCATTCCATATCGAAGATAAGAACTAGATCTTACTATCCTCCAAATGAAAGGAAGCGGCTGATCCCCACTACCGTATCCATACACGGCCAATAACATTAAGGGTACACTCAGCACAGGGCCTAAAAATACCGAATTCTGAAAATGAAGATAAAAACTGCTAAGATGGTTGAATCAATAAATGAACACGTCAGCGACTTTAGTCACTTCGAATCACTTTTCCAAAGGTTTTGGTTGTAACTGCAGTTGATCTATATTTTTATAAATTATCAAATTGACTCGAAAATTTATTTATATTAATTAAAATTAACAGTTCGCGTTATATACACTTTTCATTTCTTTAAAAAAAAGCGCAACAAATTCCAAACTTTTAAAAATTTAATGAAATTTAAATTGATTCAAAAAATTTTAGGAATAAGTTAAATACGAACTAAATTAAATAACTACTTCACTTATAGACATAGAAAAAATATCTTATGTAAAATGAAAACAATGTTTTGCATTGTTATATTATTATTTTAGTCCGGAGTTAGTGGATGCAGATGGCGTAGGACTGTTCCATATAGACGTCTACAGCAAAGGCCTACAGTGCAGCACTGGACAGATAATAGCTGATACGACGATAATGTTATTATTTGCAAACAGACTGAGAAGAAAAGATGTTGAACCAAAAAGAAAGTTATACTTTATTATACTTACAACAATACTCAAAGTGGATGATATGGCTGTTCCCATGGACTCCGATATCAAAGCCACCGTGATGCTTATAGTAGAAAACATCAGTATTCTGGACAATTCCAAAGGTTGCGAGGTGATGGGATATATAAGTGCCAAGTATATGAGACTGAAAAATATAGTCGCAGGAGTTCTGGAAACAACGAGCGCTGCATAGTATGCCTTCAAACCGTACCATCTATTAAAATATTCTCTCTTTATTAACTGGACTTCTCTTGGAACTAAAAAAACAAAAATAACAAAAGTTATCTTTTATTAACTAATAACATTGGATGTTTAATATTTTTTAAACTCTTTTAAAATAATTAGGTATAGCAAAAGAACTTACATGCCAACAACACCGGCATCATAGGTATGTACATCATGGCTATTAAACATGCATAGCAAAAGCCAAAATTGAAAAGAGTCTTAGAGGCATCATAGCCCATGTTTTGGAAGAGGAGCCCCGTTATTAGGCCTAAACACAGATGTAAGCACACCCGCAGCCATATGTAACCCTGGAAGGTTAAACAGTAGTTAACTTCAATTGTCACAAAATTAACAAAATGGTTATTCAAAGAAATAAGCTGTTTCTATTAAAAATGATATTATATAAAAACCAGAATATGCAAAACAAAAGAGAAGAATGACTAATGCTTGAGGCAAACTGTATAAAATCATATTGTAGTTGACTTTTGTGTTTTTCTAACGGCGTTTTCTCCAATGCTTTAAAAATTTCTATTGTTATACCTATATAGAAATCAAGGTTCTAATTTCCATCCAATGTTCACTATCGAGCTTTTCTAAAATTATAGAAAAAATAATTAAAAGCAAACATATAAAGTTTTTAGAAAAAACAATTTTTTTTTGTTCTAATGAATAAGGATTTCAGTCAGAGAGATCTAGACTGCACACAACTAGCACAGCGTGTTGCAACATATATCTCGACAAACCTAGATGATGATAAAGAATATCTAGGCATATTTCTAGACCGATTACCGATACTTCTACAGAAACTTAAAAATAAAGATATAATAGGTATTCCAATACAACTTTTCGAAAGTTATTTACAAAACAGAAAGCAAATGATTAGAATACAGAATTACATTAGTGCTGAAGAACAAAATACCTATGGCATACCACAGGGCAGTGTCTTAGGGCCTACATTGTTCATGGTATTATATTAATAACCTGTGTCAATTAACTTTAGCGCATGTTGAAATCATTATACTCATAGATGACATTGCTGTTATAATATTTGGAGATAATTGGATAAAAATAGGAAGAGACGTTAATAAAAATTTTAACATTATTACATTAACAACAACTTAGAAGAACATTAAACCAAGATAAAACATTATGACATTCAGTATAAAACACACAAGCTGTTAATGGCTTCATATTTTTATTAAAGTAGGTAATTGTAGAGATAAGGTCAATGTATGTAATTGTTATTGTCTTAAAAAGCCAAATTCCATACGATATCTTGGTTTAACATTTGACCAATATTTGTCGTGAAAGGAACATATCCCATTATTTGCAAAACGAGTAAGAAAACATAAGAAATTTGTAAAAAAAATAGTATTCGTATCTAAATAGGGTTTTATAAAACCTTTATAACTTCACTAGAGAGGGCGCATTAGGCTATTTTATAATTTATGACTTTTAATCTAATAATGTATCCTTTTCATAAACTATATGGGGAACTGAAAATATGATCAATTCGTAAATTGTAAATGAAATATTTAATTATGTTCCAACATAGAGTGTCAACCGACGTAGAAACATTAAAGAGAAAAAAAAAGCAAAAATTTACTACGTTTTAAGACTAGATTTGCTCAAAATTACATATTTTTTAGGGCTATATGTATATAATAGAGTATATAAGTTTATGGAAAGATAAGAGTTTTACATATTTGTGTAAAGAATAGTTAAAAATTATTTGTTGGAAACGGATAATACTTGTACCGAAAACCTGTAGAGAGTTTGAAAAAACACACACATACACCAAGAAAAATAGAGACTTAATGTCCACATAGAACTACCACATTATACATTATATATATACTATATATATATACACATGCGTATGTTTACAAAAAGGTAAATACACAACTGTAACACACGAATTGCCTTAATGTTGCGCATTTATTTATTTATAGAATCACCAACTTAAGATACAGCGAAGCATTTCAATACAATACTCTGGTAGATTAGACCTAACTGTTCTTACATTTAGTAGCAACCACAACATGCCTTGTGTTTGATAAACATTAATTAAATGATTAATTAAATGGAATTAAATTATTAAATGTCATTAAAATGTCAATAAAGATATTAATATAAGTAAATGATGGAAATTGTGGTTAAATTATTTTAAATTATAATTAAATATAATCTAATGGCGAAGTATATCAACATTTAATTCAGCCATGGACACAGAGTGACTATCGTTGTGAATATCAAGTTCAGGCTTGGTTTTTACAATATCGTTATACAGACGCGTTATGCGGACGAGAGGTGATTCGCGGCCCAAGTTTGTTCTGCAAGCTGCATTTTTAAATAGATTGCAAGGATGCCGCGGCACTCTAGTAGGTACATTGTATTCAAGTTTCATCAGTAGAGGCAGGCAATCAATGTGATTATTCACTGACTTATGAAGATATGACATGTCAAGTTAAGATCTGCACAGGCATAGTTCATCAAGGTGAAAATGTTTAATTTTGTTTTTGTAGGTTTTAACATTTCTTGATATTCTAGTACGATAAGCTAGGCTAAGAACGAATTTATTCTCTCTATTCTGTCCTCATGTATCTTGTACATAGGTGACCACACCATACTGCAATACTCCAACTTGCTATTGTAAAGTTGAATTATAGTTTTCTTTTATGCAAGTTAGAATGGCAAACAAGCTAACGGCCCACCTGATGGAAAGTGGTAACCGTCGCCTATAGACATGAGCAGTACCATGGACATAACAGAGTATACTGTTTCGCCTATGATATCCCCCATGCGTTGCCATTCCTGAGGACTCAGGTGTTATTCCTTTGTACCCTGTAAATTCACGCCATATCCCACCTTTCAAACCGAAACACAGCTATACAAACACAACTGCTCCACGGTAGAAACACGATTAGGACAGAGGTGCCCAAGCAATCGACTTTTGTACAACTCAAAATCGACGTTTGTCTCTCTCTGGTATAAATACCATAAATGTACATAGACTGTATTGATAATTTCACCAATGCACAATGATTACCTTATTTCTAACAGTCTGTAACATCATTCGCCGTAACAGTATGCGGAACTGTCGCCACGAGGTGCTCCCGTGCTTGAGGTTACATGTTTCCACACCACTAGAGTTTAGCTGCTCCAGCTCCAACTCCTGGGAGCTGTCTGCGACTGCGTAGTCTCTCCACTGGTGACTCCGACCATTTTCTATTGCGGCTACCATTTTATCGGCCTGGGGGCCATACTCCCCACATGATACATCTATAACTGCGAAAATAATCATTAATTATTTATTAAATTTCATTACTGACACTAAAAATAAACTGGATCGTATGTAGTTTCAGAATTTCAAGTATTAACTGCCTTCGTAACTAATAAAGAAAGAAAAGAAAATAACTAGAGAGAGAGAGAGAGACGTTGTACAAAACTTTTAACTCTGTCCCATTCGTGTTTCTACTAGCGATAAAGCGATTGTAGTTACATCGCTGCGTTTCCGTTTGAAGAGTAGAATATGGCAGTTAAATTACAGAGTACAGAGACATAACGCCTTAATCCTCAGAAATGGCAAGGGATGAAAGTATCATGGGCATCGCAGTATACTTTCGATAATGTGCTGTTTCATGTATTATGGTTTTCGTCTCTATAGACGACAATTGACGTTTTCCTTCAAGGGAGCCGTGGTTAGTTTATCATACTAGCTTTCAAAATAATCCTGTTCTTGAAATAAAAAATCCAAACCATAACAAAGTTTAGTCCCTAATGTGGTGTGCTTTTTTATGGGTGAAAATGGTATGGTAACGGTAACTCCGCCTGCGCTAATGGGATACGCTGGCTAATGGGAGCACCAGTGAAGGGTGATAGATGAGAATGAAAACAGGCCAGTTAGCCCATCATGATGAATTCATCAGGAATTAACCATGATAGTTTCCAGGGGGAACCGTGAAGAGGTCGACCTGGTTGGGTATACTGCTAGCAATGGGATTCTCAGTCTCCATTACTAACAATCCCTTTCCCCCCAATGTGGTGTGCTGGAAGTTGAGACAGCATCTCTATTCTATATAAGCTTCTCTTATCGGATCTCCACTTCTAAGGGATATTTTCTAAGCACATCTTAGTACGTATTGCTGAAAATAATTAAGACTTACTGAAGTCGGCCGGGTTGTGCGTGGTGGGGCAGGACAGGTGCAGACAGTGCAGGAAGGGCACGACGCCGGCGGCGGCGCCGTGGTAGGCGCAGCGGCCGTCCGCCACCACGTACACGTGGTCGAAGTGCGCGAACAGGCGCGCGGACGGCGTGTGCACCGAGCACACCACCGTGCGCCCGCCGCGAGCCACCCGCTTCAGCAGCGACACGCACATCGACGACGCCACCTCGTCCAGACCGCTGCAACCACCACCATTTGTTACTATGGCTCTTTCCCAATAAGAGAACGAGTTTCTATTTGCGAATTTCTGCTGTGTTTTTGCCAAAATAACGGTAGCATTCAAATATGCAACTTACCGCAACCCATGTATTTCAAATTAGCTAATCGTCGCCCATCGTCAGATTAAGATTTTAAATATCAAAAGTATTGGTCCTCTTTTGTAAAATAAATACAGTATCAGATAATATCAACGACTGTATACCAAAATATCTCATGACAATAATGTCATACGAATATTAACCATAAGGTTAATATTCTTAGTTTAAGTATGAAGGTAGGCGTTATCACTTTCGTTATTTATTTATTTATTTATTGTTCACTTGAAATATGAATTAATCGTGTTTCAAAAAGCGTAAGTACATGTATAAATAAATATAAATGTTGAGTCCTTAATACTAATTCTACTTACATTATTTTATCATGTTATTTCAATGTACCAGTGTTAATTTAATTATTAATTTGCTCCATTACATTCAGTGTATATCAGTCAACTGATTACATTAAGATTACCATTTTATTTAATTATACAAATATTACCTTAGATTGGTTTCATCTTATTCTTGCATAATATTTAACTGAACTAAATTGGCCGTGTGGTTCCGGCATAGAATAGACCACCCCTCCCTTTCCCGTGGGCGACACCCACAGGAAAGGAAGGGGTGATAAAAGACGACTAAGGAACGGCGAGGGATGGGCAGCAGCGTCCCCCTTAAAACAGCTCTAAAGCCTGAATGCGGTTCCAAACTGCCTGTCAAGCGTGGCTACTGACAAATCTCCCCAAGGGGAAGGTTAATGTTCAGCAGCGGACGGTTAAGAACTGATATGATGATGATGATGATATAACTGAACTGACATGTATAGTCTTGTTAATTAAACATAAAATAATAAATCTAAAAGCTAAAAAACTCTTACGTGGTTGGCTCGTCCAAAAATATAACTGGTGGGTTGTTGAGCAACTCGAGGGCGATGGACAGTCTCTTCCTCTCCCCGCCGGAGAGTCTTTCTGTCGTTGTGTCTTTGGCTTTGTTCAACATCAACAGTTGTATGATCTCATCCACCTTAAAATGTAATTAAACCATACAATGGCACATATTGAATTATCGTATCATAACTTATCAAAAAACAAATTTAAGGATCTTCCAAAAAGAGATGATTCTCAATTCGTTTTTACATAGTTTATACTATGCCATGCGAGGAGTGATGATAGAGATTTCTCATGGAAAATGATGGTATAAAATTTAATATTAAATGAATGTAACTCTGGGCTCAAATACAACCTTAGTTATTATTAACTTATTGTATGTATTTGAGCTCAGAATTACATTTATATAATATTATTTTTTTCACTCCTCGTTCAAGGGTCAATGTTTTGAGTCGTCAGCATTCAGTAAGTACGTAAGTATACAGAAAGCATACAGTATAATATGTTATTTACTTCCTGACTATTAAAAATGCAAAGTATTTATACATTAGTACTTTAACTGCTGAACCTGATACAAGGCCTGTTACAACACACGATTACACCAGAGAGAGACGAAAAAGTGTTTAATTAATGCATGATTTCAGTATTCATTTTAAATACACTAGAGGTAGAGTTATTAAATTATTTGTTTTAGGCTGTGTTATAACTTGTTTAATTGAATCATTATTAAGAATATCAGGAAATCAAGAGAAAGATAATTTCTTAAATCGTAATATAAGTTCTTAAAGGAAGTTTCTAACCGCTCACTACCATAAAATTGGGGACCGTTGCCTCTGATCGACGGATACACTTAAGAATCTAAATGATTTATTCTTTCATACAAACTACTCAGTCAAGTAGTCGATTCAGTGTAGAAATTTCATAAACTATTTTGAGATTTCAGCATAATATAAAAAAAATACTAACTGCTCAAACAGTTGTTTTACTAACTAAATCGGTCAATTTCAATTTAAAAAGTTTCATTAAAATCACTTGAAAACTTTCTAAGATTAGATAGATACATTATAATTAGAAGATAATTTATTTGCATTACTTAGATACAGCACACAAATTACAATACAAACATATACATAATACACAGTAAAAGAGATAAAAGAATGAAAAACAAAAACAAATTCCTTCCTTCATGCGCGTGCCATAGCAACACAAAATGGTCACAACTCATTTTATTGCTTTGCCCTCAAAATAGCAAAATAATGAATGAATTAGCATTAAAGAATGTCGTAATATTTTTATATATTTCGATGAGTAAACCTTACCACAACAATTTTCTCCCGGCCGGTGATGGCGGCGCCGAGCTTGAGGTCGGCGGCTATGGCCATCGCTTCACGGACGGTGATGTATGGCTGCAGCAGATCCTCCTGCATGATGTACCGCGACAGCTTCCTGAACTGGCGCAGGTCCCGCGGCTCTCCGTTCGTGTATACATGGCCGCCGGCTCCCTCCACTCTGCAAGTGGAAATAAAGGGCATTGCAGTTACTACGATACGATATTTGTAACATGAACATTTCTGATGGAATGCTCAATAGAAGTAAGTGTAGCACTGCAGTACCTGTAGCCAGCGAGGACGTTGAGCAGCGTGCTCTTGCCGGCGCCCGAGGGGCCCAGTATGGCGGTCAGCTGGCCCGACCTGAACTCGCCGTGGATACCGCGCAGGATTATTTTCGAACCTGGAACATAATACATAATAAAGTAAGTATACAAGTAAACACTGATCTAAACACCATTACGACAATTTCTAAATGTTATTATTTATAATATAGATTCATTAACATTCTCATACATGCGAACTTCATTTTCACACTTTCTCTATTTTTCTATAACGTTTTGCTTTTATTTCCAATTCCTTCACTCTTGAGGCCTCTTGACTTTAGAACGCGCTACCTATTGACATAAGAAAAGTGTCTAACAAATTTATTTTTAAAAGAAAAGTCTACGAATATCTTTTGAAGAAGCTGTGAAAGCAGTTCACCATCTTCATCATCATCCCCTTTGATATATATCGTTGTTTATTGGTATTTTTTTATGTTTGAAAATGGTATAGTAACCCCGCCTGTGCTAACGGGACACGCTGGCGGAGCACCAGTGAAAGGTGATCGATGAGAATGAAAACAGGCCAGTTAGCCCATCATGATGAATTCATCAGGAATTAACCATGATAGTTTCCAGGAGGAACCGCGAGGAGGTCGACCTGGTTGGGTATATTACTAGCAATGGGATTCTCAGTCTCCATTACTAAGAATCCCTTTCCCCCTATTTATTGGTATTAAAGTTATATACTCTATAAGTATGTATGATATTTATATTTGTATGTTTTTATGATATACATTTGTATATGTATGTAATATTTGTTTAATGTATTCATGTATGTATTATGTTATATATTAATATAATCATAATGCAGTAGTTCTCCACGTGTATGTGTGGTGATTTGTAAGTCAATATCGATACGTACGTGTCATTGTTTATATGTAACAACTTTTAATTTTTTCACTGCATAATTAAATTTCTGTTTCGCCAATGGTTGACTGGGAAAGAATGCTATCTACATCTACACTAATATTATGAAGAGGAAAGATTTGTATTTTTGTGTGTATGTTTGTATTGAATAAACCCAAAAACTACTTTGCCGATTTCATAAATTCTTTCACCATTAGAAAGCTACTTTCACCATGAGTAACACAGACTTTATTTTTATTGCTAGAAAAGATTAGGGATCCTTAATAAAACTTTAATAACGTAACTCAAGGTGTAAAAGAAATGCTGGTACAAACTGACTTCCAAACACGAACGTAGTAAAATACATATACTATAAATTAAACTAAGTCTGAGACTTTCTGAATACCAGTTTGTTTTATAAGCGTACGGGCGCAACCGAGTATGTCCACATAGGCACCGACTTTCTATCGTTTGTTTAACATCTGAGCAGTGCAGTTGCACGCGATCTACTCGTGCATCTCGTTTCGTAAATATATTAGCCCGCATATAAGGACGCGATAAAAAACTAATATGTCGACACCAAACCTACAGTAAGAAATATACATTTTAAAGAGGCTCATTAAATAACAAAATATTTTGAAAAATTTCAAGCTTTTGAAGTCGCCTCGAAAATCGAAATGAACTGGTTCGCATGAGAGTTCATTTCGTATTTAAGAGTAAAAATTATTTATTTTTATTTAATAACTAGCTGACCCCGTTGTCTTACCACTTATTGCGAAATATAAAAATCGCGATTAAAATACAGGGGTTGATCGTAAAACGATGAAAATTTAAAATTGTATGTATTTTTCAATGCTAAATCATAATAATATAAAAATGAAAAAAAATTAGTCAAAAAAATAAAAAAAAAATTTGGGGAGGGTCACCCTTATCATTGAGTGATTGCCGGGGGGAAAGGGATTGTTAGTAATGGAGACTAAGAACCCCATTGCTAGTAATATACCAAACCAGGTCGACCTCTCCGCGGTTCCCCCTGGAAACTATCATGGTTAATTCCTGATGAATTCATCATGATGGGCTAACTGGCCTGTTTTCATTCTCAACTATCACCTTTCACTGGTGCTCCGCCAGCGTATCCCGTTAGCGCAGGCGGGGTTACCATCCCATTTTCATTAATCGAAAAAAAAATAGGTGAATGCCAAAAATATCTCTTTTCCAGAATCTAGGTAAGATAATTAGAACCAGTGTACACTGTGCATTACATTGTTGTATTGTTAACATTGAAATATTGACGTAAACTTAATTGGTAGCTTAAAAATAATTTGAATTATTATAAGAATCGCTAAATAATACTAAAACACAAGGCGTTTCCTGTTGTATTGTTTCGTTTTGAAATTTATATTCATAACTCACACAAAATCTTAATATTAAATATTTGAATTGCAAATTCATTCTATAGTTTATTGCTTATATAACGATATACGAATATATAATATTCTATAATATATTATATACAGGGGGGAAGGGATTGTTAGTAATGGGGAGTTTAGTCCCCATTGATATCAATATACCCTATCAGGTCGACCTCCATGCGGTTCCCCCTGGAAGCTATCGTGACCAATTTAACATTTAATGCATCACAATGGGCTAATTGACTTGCCTTTTTATCCTCACCTATCACTGTACCTCGCTAGTGTATACCGTTAGCGCAGGCTGGGTAACCATGCCATTTTCAGACATAAATATATATATATATATATATATATATATATATATATATATATATATATATATACAATTTCATCATCATCACCATTCCAGCCATTATCCGTCCACTGCTGGACATAAGCCTCCCCCATAGACTGCCATAAAGAACGGTCCTGAGCCACCTGCATCCACTGACTCCCTGCAATGCATTTCAGGTCGTCACTCCATCTAGTGAGGGAACGTCCTATACTGCGTTTACCCGTTTTCAATATGTGTACATTTATTTAATTTGTATTCTATTTACTTTGTCTATTTACGCTAAGTTCTTTCCTTTTTCTTGTATTTCTCCTGCACTAGATGTCGAATACTATGTATGTCACAAATTATTTGGGTCATTAAAGCGACATATAGATAAATAATGTTACTTTTACATTTATTAAGTTACAGACTGTCGCGCTGCATGATTTATGTATTATAAGAGTGCAATCTTTTAGGTAAATTACGTCAAGAGTTTACAAATGAAGACAGTTTTAAACACTCCTCGGCCTAGAGCCGAGTAATATAAAACAAATTATTACCCCTGTATAGTGTGCACACATTAAAAAAGGTAAACACATTTAATAAAGACACAATCAGTTTTATATACAGAGACCCTCAGTATAGTGACACAATTAGTGTGAGACGAGGGGAAAGGAATTGTTAGTAATACGGCCGACTAATTCCATTGCTAGCAATATACATGTGGTTTTTTTTTATATACAACTTAGAATAGCAAACAAGCTGATGGCCCACCTGATGGAAAGCGGTAACCGTCGCCTATAGACATGAGCAGTACCATGTACATAACAGAGTATACTGTTTCGCCTATGATACCCCCATGCGTTGCCATTCCTGAGGACTCAGGTATTATTCCCCTGTACCCAGTAAATTCACGCCATATCCCACCCTTCAAACCGAAACACAGCCATGTATACACAGCTGCTTCACGGTTGAAACACGAATGGGACAGAGGTACCCAAGCAATCGACTTTTGTACAAAGCCTCCCTCTAGAAACCATCGTGCTGGATTCCAGCTACATTCTTTATGTTGAGCTAACTGACCTGCTTTTTCATTCTCACCTATCATCCCTCACTGATGTCCTTCAGGCGTATACCATCAGCGCAGGCGAGGGTTACCACTCCATTATTATCCATTAAATTTTTTTATGCAACTTAAAATGGTTTCAACTTATGAAAATCCACACACAGCTGAACAAACTCACCGGTGCCGACGTGCACGCTGTAGGTGAGGTCGTGGAAGGCGAGGGTGACGGGCGGCCGCTGCGGCAGGTGCGACAGGTGCCCGCGGCCGATGCTGCGCGCAACGCCCGCGCCTGCACTGCTCGTCTCCATACTGCTGCACGCACACACACACTGCTATTAGCGAACATAGAACCGGACCTATATCTGAGAATCACATGCTGGAAATCTCGGAATTTTCGATGCTTTTTTCAACTATTTGTAATGTAAGTTAAATTAGACTCCCATTTCCGCACAGAAGAAGAGTGTGGAACTACTTATAAAGTGAAGACACTAAGTACTACATGTAATGAGAATATATATTTACATCTTTTAATCAACAATTATCAATCGTCTAAAAAGGACTCTTCTTTCAACCATTGGCCACTCTATACTGACTTATTAAGTTCGAATGTCACGTTATTTTTTCAAAATTCGAGGTTATAGGAAAACACCATTACTGAAAAGACCATCTTGCAGTATTACGACACGGCTCACAAAGGAATTCGCAAAATTACGTGCACAACTGCGATACCTAAAAATGAATGCTGAAATACCGTCTGGCCCGCTAGATTTAGGAGTATCAAGCAAACGGAATTGCTTCAGTACGTCTTTGCCATATTATAATAACTGAGCATACTTTGCCCATAATACGGCAGAAGATAACGAGTTTACGTCATCCATCAGTAGTAACACTAGACAGTTCCTTAATAGAGTTTTAATCGAGATCTAATTTGATCACTCGTTAACAAATGGTTCGTCAAGGACGGTTCATAACCCTATAGATATAGTTCATGTCGTCATATCTGAAATACTGATAAAGTCGGAAACCAGTTGCATCAGATCAAAAGTCAAAGCGAAAATATAAGCAATCCTGTATGCATGAGCTAGATTATGGGATGAATCCTAAACACAGCTCAATACGAACATTGAAATCACAAAGTCAGTGGCAGAAAACTAGGTCAACGTATTTATTGCTAGTGCTACAAACTAAAAAGCTGAATTGTTTCACCGTCATCACGATGAGATTGTAAAGGCAGGCGTAGGTTCCGAACTAAGCACTGTCTAAGAACACTCATAGGATAGAAAGAGATAGATCTGGGCAACGGAGACGGTAACAATTTTTTTTTATACCACTGAGGTGGCAAACAAGCATACGGCCCACCTGATGGTAAGTGGTTACCGTAGCCTATGAACACCTGCAATACCAGAGGTATTACGCGCGCGTTGCCGACCATATTCGACCTAATGTAAATATAACCCCGAATGGGCTGTGATAAAAAAATTACTATTCAAAAATGCTTAAATCTAAGTTTACTTAAGTAAAAATAATGGATTGGATTGAAATTGATATAGTTCGTCTTATAGTGCACAGTTCCATTGTTATTACCGTAATTATTTTAAGGGGTAACGCGAAAATTAGCAAAGATATGAGTTGACACGTAGAAATTTGTCTTGTCTTAAACTGCTTGAGAGCATAAGAATCAAATCCCCTATCTACTCAGGAGTCACTAGTATTAATTAAATAAACACATGCATAAAAATAATACCGTTCTAACGTTTCGAATCCCCCAATGGTAAACTACCATAAGAAACAGCGCCATTTTTATGGCAGTCTATGGGGAAACCTGCGTTTAGTAGTGGACAAATAACGGCTTATGTGAGAATGATGATATCAGATAACATGACATTTTCTGACGAAACCTTGTGCGATCTACCAATTACACGCTTCTTGAAATCACAAATGAAACAACATAGTTCAGTGCACAATTATGTAGTATTGTAGTATTTTTTATTTTATTAAGAGGGAAAATATAAAACTGTAAATTATTCTTGGTAACTACTTATTTATATTAGTGTGAGCATTGCGTCTGAGCATCTTCTGCTAGATTAGCAAAATCAAGTTTGTAGTTGGAAATTGCCTACCTTAAAGAATCCAATGTATGTGTGAATTATTTTTTGTTTGTTTTAAATAGGGAACTGCTGACTCACGTAAATAATGTTGTACCAAAACACCAATTCAACACATTTCTTCAAATATGAATATTTCTCATTAGAAACCAATTGCCAAATATTTTGACTTGAAGATGACCTTGCTCTTAGAAATATGTCGCAGCGCCGAGTATTTTACATTTTTTACCTTGTCACGATCGACTGGATTAATAGTCGCGATAGACCGGTTGGCCACCTATATTATATGTTCTAAATGTATTTATTTATTTATGCTTTATTGCACAATAAAACTTTGTACAAGTGGCGAGCTTAATGCCATATGGCATTCTCTACCAGCTAACCATATTTAGTTTTTTTTTATTTGCATAAAACAGACTTTAAATAATTATTGTTATTGATATTGCAATTCCGAATTTCTTATTACAGGCCACAGCGATGGTTAAAATCCAACCTCAAAAAGCAAGTTGGTTTGTGGAAGTCTTATAATATTTTTTTCAAAAACTATAATAGTTACAAACATATTTTTTTTTTTTCGGTAAAATTAGCTTTTAATTTCTAAAACTGTAATTATTTCAGAATTTTCGCTTCACAAACTTCGAAGATAAAGGTTATCACATTTTCGATTAAAAAGCAAAAAACCATACGATATAAAAAGAAAACTGTTTTGTCATGTACAAATGAAGACTTTTCGTGTCTCTATTTAAATTAGTAGAATCGTTTTGAAATTTTAAGTGCTCCTTTGGGGCCTCCTTGACTTCCAAATTTCAAATCGACAGCAGCATTGGTAGTTGCTGAAATAAAACGATGTGTGACAACCGGACGAATACGGGATAAGGACTCCTTTACTATTTTCTATTTTTACTATTTTCGTACAGAAATAGAGTTACTTGTTGAAAAATCAATATAACGCCAACACTATAATTATAAAAATCAGTTTAGAATAGACGAAAATTAAAATATAGTTCAATTTATAACATCCCTTTGAACATTGTTTGATAGAGGAACATCTTTATATCTTATTTTTTTAAATATATGCTAAACTCTTTCCCATGTCTATATACATATATAAGGGGGATTAAGAACACATAGTTCATTAATTTCCCGTTATATATGAATTAATATATACTTACAAGAAACATGGTAAGTATATACTCGTAGATGTTAACAATAGGTATAACTCCACATATTTCGACATAACTAGGCGTGCAAAATTTAAAACCTACGTATACATCTTTACACCTACTACGTATGATTTCGACATAGTCTCAAATAATAAACTAACTAAAGATATATAGATAGACTAGGGAATGCAACTACTATACAACCGTTGTGAATGTGAACGCAAGACCAGTTTTATAGGCTCTTTGGTTTGCGGTGCTGAGAATTTACAGTTGCTCAAGACACGCATTTTTAATTTAGCTGTGTTTATTATTACTAAATTATTGAAATGTGTATTAAACATGTATACATTTCGTTAACAAAAATTAAAAAAAAGATCATAATTCCAGCCATTATCCGTCCACTGCTGGACATAAACCCCCCCCATAGACTGCCATATAGAACGCTCCTGATCCACCGGCATCCACTGACTCCCTGCAACGCATTTCAGGTCGTCACTCCATCTAGTGGGGGATCGTCCTACACTGCGTTTACCCGTACGTGATCGCCACTCAAGAACCTGTCTTTTCTATCGGTTGTCGGTCCTTCGAGCTATGTGACCAGCCCATTGCCACTTCAGCTTGCTTCTAACTATGTCGGTTATTTTGGTACTTTTGCGGATATCCTCGTTTCGGATTCTATCACGCAAAGAGACAAAAAAACACAAATATACGTGACAGTTACATTTCATTTAAAAATTTATTGTAGTTTTTCCTCAACAGATTATTTACTAAAACTGAAAAAGATTTGAAACACACGCTTCTAGATTGTCTAATTATTCTATGGTATATTTAATTAACTATAAAATACAAATAGTGGAATGACCAATCCTTAATATGTCAATTTTGAGGTTGTTATCTTTTAAAGAGGTAATTTAACTCAGTTATATAAAAGTTTAGGTTTTTGAAACTGACGCGTATCTACGTAGTTCTTGTTTACAATATTCGACATTCTATATATAGTTCTACGTACGGAATATACCTATTTCTTAACAATAAACAATGAATTTTCATTTTTTGCTATTTTCAAAATATATGTGATTAAAAAAAAGTTACACACAAACACGCGTATTCCGTAATGCCCATGTCTATAGACGACGGTTACCGATTTCTATCAGGTACCTTTTTAACTTATTAAATATTATAAATAACATATAAAAAACGTGCAATGTCGTCTCGGTATAGAATAAGCCATTCCTTTCGTGCCTATAGGTGTCGTAAGAGACGAGTAAGAACTACGGTTGCCAACCCGCCTGCCGAGCGTGGTAAGTACTGGTAAATTGGGGGAAAAGGATTGTTAGCAATGGAGTTTGACAGCCCCATTGTTAGCAATATGCCTTATTAGTTCGACCTCCACGTGGTTCCACCTGGAAACCATCGTAAACAATTCTTGTTGAATTCATCACGATGTGCTAACTGACCTGCTTCATCCTCACCTATCATCCTTCACTGGTGCCCCACCGGTGTATACCGATAGCGCGGGTGAGGTTACCATTCCATTATCACCCATTAAAAAACTACTGGTAAATAACCCTTCTGGGAAGCCTATGTTCAACAGTGAACAGTCAACACATGATATGATGATATAAAAAACTATATAATTTTTAAATATTTATAACATTTAATTTAGTGAACATTAATAAAAATATCAATATGAAATATAAAATTTAAAATGTATTATAAATAAATTACAATTTAATTGGTGGCAGTCGTATTTCATTTAGAAATTCATTAATTATCTAATAAGATTTTTTTACAATTCATAAAAGTACATATTTGAAGTGTCCTAAATATTGAGGCTTCAAATTTTTTTTTATGCAACTTAGAATGGCAAACAAGCTGACGGCCCACCTGATGGAAAGTGGTAACCGTCGCCTATAGACATGAGCAGTACCATGGACATAACAGAGTATACTGTTTCGCCCATGATACCATCCATGCGTTGCCATTCCTGAGGACTCAGGTGTTATTCCTCTGTACCCAGTAAATTCACTGCCATATCCCACCCTTCAAATCGAAACCCAGCCATACAAACACAACTGATTCACAATTTATCTAGCAATTTGTTATATTTCTACATAAATAAATACCTACATTAAAATGATCAATTATGCATTTAATTTCGAATTTTGTGTTGAACTATTTAGTATTGCTTAACGAATTAATTTATATTAGTGTAAACACAGTTCGCTATGCAATATTTTTAATTTGGTATATATTTTAAATTTTTGCAGATTTCGCAATTTTATATATACTTGATATTATTTTTGCTTCGAGAATTAATTAGTATTTTATGAACGTCTTATAAATGTTGTAGGAAGTGATAATATTTTAGTAGTTAACTTACTGTCACTGCGTTTGTCTTAAAACTGCACAATTATTCTGACATGTGTACTTGTAGGACGTCGCGCAATGGCGACGTTGAATCACCAACTACCTAGTTACAAAACACTGCTGGTTCACCAGTCGCCGTAACCTCTCAATACCTAGACGCTGCGACTGCACGCGCTGTATCAATTTTTAGAGTTCCCTACCAATATACTACAAAGGAATCCTTACGGTGTGAGGGAAAGGGTTTGCTAGTAATGGGGAGGTTAGTCCCCATTGCTATAGATATACCTTATCAAGTCGACCTCCACGCGGTTCCCTTGGAAACCATCGTGACTAATTTCCCGTTGAATTCGTCACAGTGGACTAACTGACCTGACCTTTCATCCTTACAAATCATTTTTCACTGGTGTCCCGCCTGTGTATACCCATAGTGCAGGCAGAGTTACCATTCCATTATCATCCATTAAAAAAAACCCCTTACGATGCAACTCAGTTCGTCTGTCTCGCCGTCCGTTCGTCTGTCAAAGCACTATATCTCAGGAACTACTACTGTTATTGATTTGAAATCTAAAATAGTTTTTGATCTTGTTCGCGTATTGTAATAAAAATAATTGAAAAATGTTTTAATTTTCTTTGCTAAAGGATTCAAGATGGGGATTCAAAATTTCTAAATTAGCTTACTAGTACCAATGTGGTATGCATAACAATAAATATCATTTCCCTTCTCCTCTTCCTCCCTTCCAAAGCGAGAAATCTAACAGTTTATAAAGTTTATAATTCCAAATACCACAATTTTAAAAATTTATAAACTGACTTTATCTTTGGCAAAATCAGATTTTTAACTACAATTAATAAGAAATCTCCAAATGAAACAGCAGTAATGACTATTATCTTTTAATTAATTTAATTATTATCCATCTAGGTATATATTTCATATATACAAAAAGTTATTTTATATCGCATACGAGTCGTAATAATATCAAATATACATAATTTTAATTAATTTTTATTTAAAGAACCCATAATCTATTTACCGATTATCTCATGTACAGAACCCTTGGCGCGTGAAGTCGAGTTACACATAGCCGCTTTTTCTTATTCCTATATTAGGCTCTATTTGATTTGGCAATGTCCAGATTTTTGATCGACGAATTTGCCTCCAATACATATAATACATGTAATAATATAATAATAATGAATATATATGTATGTATAAGCCGTTAATTATATGTACACGCGTACAATATGAGAAAGAGTTATTAAATACTTTAATTAATAATTAAAAATAAAATAATTTATTTCTAATCAGAAACTTGTATATGAAATATCTTGCTTCGAATTTCAAAAATGACAGGTCTCCTTACAATCTTTCATCCCATATTTTACCACTTTAGGGGTGACATTTCCAAAAATCTTTCCTTAGTGAATACTTTTTTTTTAATGGATGATAAAGGAATGGTGACCTTGCCTGCGCTAACAGTATACGTTGGCGGGGCACCAGTGAGAGATGATAAGTAAATAATAAAAAAACAGGTCAGTTAGCCCATAGTGATGAATACATCTGGAATACAGCTCGATGGTTTCCAGGGGGCACCACATGGAGATCGACTTGACAGGATATATTGCTAGCAATAGGACTGGTAGTCCGCATTACTAACAATCCCTCCCCCCCCCCCTTCTTAGTGAATGATTACATTATGGAGTAATATCTATGTTAATGTATGCAGTGCAGAAAAAAAAATCTTTATAAAGAAGTTTAATAATTGCTAATTAAGCACTGCACGTACTGGGTTAATGTGTCTTCACACGGTTTCTATTTTAATTTACTTTTTTTTTATTATTTCATATTTAAGTTAATATTTATCTCATTTTTTTTTCTCAGTTGCGAGTCAGTTGCAAATCAGTCAGTGAGTCAATTGCTGTTCAGTTGTAAACGTCACTACCAATCTCGTCCTATCAGTTCATCTCTTAACAAATGTAATTTTTTTACGCCTTTTGTACCTTTATATATATATTTTGATCCGTACTCCATGCTACTGTATTTCAGTTGAATTGTTTGTATGTTATTGTTTATTTTTATGTTTTTGATGCAATAAAGAGTTACTTTAATAAATATTACATTTAATAAATATATACCAGATAATGCTGAGAAAATGATGGTAAATAATAATAGAAATAAAATAATAATACAGTATAAATTTGCTTATTGCCGTTTACATTTTACAAGTACAGTACAAGGGGGGAAAGGATTGTTAGCAATGGAGTTTGACAGCCCCATTGCTAGCAATATACCTTATTAAGTTGACCTCCACGTGGTTCCCCCTGGAAACCATCGTGAACAATTCTTTTGATTCGTCACGATGGGCTAACTGACCTGCTTCATCCTCACCTATCATCCTTCACTGATGCCCCGCCGGTGTATACCGATAGCGCGGGTGGGGATATCATTCCATTATCATTCATTAAAAAAAAAGTACAGTACAATCATTATGAGGTTAGTGCAAATGATGTAATGACGCGTTACACAATACATCAAGAGTGCCTGTGAATGGCAAAAAGTGCAAACTCAGCTTTCGCCGAACTCGTGTCCATTCAGCGCTGATTTTCAATTTACACCTGCGCGGGCTACGGTTTTATTACCAAACAGTTTAGTCTTATTAACGAGATTTTGTTTATGCAATTTTTTATGACATATGACAAACAAGCCGACGGCCCACCTGATGGGAAGTAGTAACCGTCGCCTATAGACATGAGCAGTACCATGGACATAACAGAGTATACTGTTTCGCCCATGATACCCCCCATGCGTTGCCATTCCTGAGGACTCAGGTGTTATTCCTCTCTACCCTGTAAATTCACTGCCATATCCCACCCTTCAAACCGAAACACAGCCATGCAAACACAACTGCTTCACGGTTGAAACACGAATGGGACAGAGGTGCCCAAGCAATCGACTTTTGTACAAAGTCTCCCTCTGGTAATGTTAAGTGCTTAGGTAATAAGGTAGTTTATTGTGTAAACTTCACTGATTTATACTATGGTTATATTTATTATTTATTTGTTTTAGCTATTGTATGTTTACCTATTTATTTTAAATAAATAAATTAATATGTTTTTTTTCTGTAAACACATTCAAAATAATATACGGTACGTTATTTAATATTTCTAATAAATATTTCTTTATTTTTTTTTGTCCATGAAAATTATTAGATATGTTGCATTTTTCCGTACGAAAATTTTTGCTTGTATTATGTACATTTTTATTTTCAGACAATGACGATAATATTTGAAAATAATGTTGGACTCTACTATTGTATTCAGTCTGTCGTTTTTGCTAATTTGTTAAACTGTTTAAATAATAGTAAGTAATCGTTTTTAAAATTTTAGAACCATTGTTTGTTAATAATTAATTTTAATATTCTAAGTTATAAATTATAAATTTTGTCTACCTATATATGTGTTTTATGTATTGTACCATATGTTATCAAAGGATCAACTTGAGCTTTATACATGGTTACAAGGACAGAGAATGATACTTTCGATCTTATGGGCTAAAATTTGACTAATAGTACACTCAGTTTATAAGAAAATTATACCAAATAATTTTACCAGAGGGAGACTTTGTACAAAAGTCGTTTGCTTGGGTACTTCTGTCCCATTAGTGTCTCAACCGTAAAGTAAGATATGGCAGTGAATTTACAGGGTACAGAAGAATTACACCTGAGTCCTCAAGAACGGCAACGCATGGGGGGTTATCATGGGCGAAACAGTACACTCTGTTATGTCCATGACACTGCTCGTGTCTATAGGCGACGGTTACAGTGAGAGAAAATAATTTAATTTGGGTAATACAGTGCAGGAATGGTACCGGTAAAAATAATGTAAATACAATAAACACAAATTGTGAATAAATATATAAATAAATAAATACGTAAATAAGTAAATAGATAAATATATATACATATGTATGAGTGCATAGAATTATCATGTACAATTGATTAAAAGATATGATTTCAGTCTTCTCTTGAAGGAAGTAATGGAAGGACTATCCCGTATGTCAGCTGGTAGCCTGTTCCACAGTTGCGCAGCACGAAATGTGAAGGAGTTTCCAAAAAAATGGGTCTTACAAGAAGGGAGTTCTAAAACCTTGGACCGGAACAGGCAAGCACGCTTGGAACGTGTGGGAGGGGGCAGGATTCGAAACCGGGAGCGGAGATAAGATGAAGAGTTGGGATTATTAAGAATATTATAGAGAGTGGAGAGGATGTGCATATTATGTCGAAGTCGGATCGGGAGCCATTTTAACTGAGCGCGAAAAGCGGAAACATGATCATACTTACGTAGACCGAAGACAAATCTGATAGCTAAATTTTTGTAAGCGCTCGAGTTTATTCAGTAGCTCCTTTGTTACATCCAAAAAACTAACGTCAGCGTAGTCCAGAATAGGAAGCTGTATATATATATATATATATATATATATATATATATATATAGTTATAGATACAAGAGAAATAAAAGGCGTTTCAAAATAAATCTTTTGTTTATTTCGTAACAAAAATATAAGATACCATAAGCCGGACTAATATTATTATTCGCTATTGTGTCATATGTGATTTAAATTTTAAAATTATAAACTGTGTAAACATAAATTACAATTCGCACACCGCATTCAATGAAAACATGTTTGTATATGTTTATGTACCTACAAATATAATCGCAAATTACATTTTAGAGATCATAGGTTAAGATTAACAGAATTCGTACTATTCATCACTATCAAATTATCACTGGGTAGGTATAATCACCGACTGGCTGATGGCATCGTTATATTCATAAAGAATTCCTTTACGATCATTAGTTACACAATTCATAATTATTTATTTATCTAATTCTTTATTGTACACACTAGTTATAATAATATGACAGAGGTAATCAAAAGTACAAAAGCGAGCTTAACTCTGATAGAGTTTTCTTCCAGCAAACCCAAATTAATTATATTAAATGCGAGACTTAATTTGTTGACCACACATGGAAGCGTTGCCTAAGAGCATCTACGCTTTAATCACCTTATCTATTTAAAAATATTCATTAATAAAATTTTCATTTGCTTTATACATGCCAAAAAAGAACACTAACAATTATAATAAACAAATACAATAAGATAAGAAATAAAACATTTGTCTAAATTATTAGATATAATAAAATTTAAAATGAAACAGAATCATTGATACACTATATTAATTGTGTACTTGTACTTGATCATGCTGAGTATTCATGCTTTTGGAACGTTAGCTCAGACAAAACATTATTTGATCGTATAATATTCTAATCTGTAAATTTTGTACATAAATTAATGTATAATTCGCTATAATTGAAACTTATAAACTCCTGAAATAAATACTAAATCAATGGACAACTAGAACATACAACTATCTAACTGTTTTCACTGATGAGACATGATCATTTTAGTCTTGACGTAATTGCCAATGATTTTAATACTGCGGTACGCGTAGTTGGGCGACAGCCGCTGCCGCAGCAGGTAGTAGCCGAGGAAGTTCATCAGCAACAAGACGACCACCAGTACTCCGAAGTCGAACCAGAACGACACGCCCGACATACCCATGAGTCTCAGAAAATTGCTGAAAATGAAATTAGATTTATATAATATCACAGCCCAGGTGATAAATTACTAAAATGTATGTACTTCCTAATAGATAACAACATTCCAAACACAGCCGTACAGTCATTTCACTGTTTCAAAATTCTTGCATTTCCTCTTAAGTTACTATACCAAATTTTTCAAAAATACTAATACAAGATGTGTAGATTAGTAGTTAGAACATTAACTTGCATTGTATACTGAAGTATGTGACAGTAGCAAGTAAATGACAATACAACACACAAGATATGTAGGTACAAAATTAAGCAGTTAATATTGTAATTTAAAATTAAGTAAATGCACTTGTTACACTAATTAATGGACTTAATAAAAATTTGTCAAATTAGCTGAATCGGTTTTTGATACGTTTTTAACATTCTTTGAAAGCTTAACCAGGGATCGTGCTGAAAGCAATTAAAGAAAAACTTTGTTCAGCAGTGGATCACCATAAGTTACAATTGATCGATTTGATATTAATACTCAATGCTCTATCTATATAATATAAGCATAAACTATATATATATATATATATATATATATATATATATATATATATATATATATATATATATATATATAAAAAACTATATCATAATTTTAATACCGTTCAACAGCTTTTTTGTCAATCTACTGGAAATGACACACGACTCACCTTTTCTTTTATACAACTTAGAATGGCAAACAAGCTGACGGCCCACCTGATGGAAATGATGGAAAGTGGTAACCGTTACCTATAGACATGAGCAGTAGCATGGACATAACAGAGTATACTGTTTCGCCCACGATACCCCCCATGCGTTGCCATTCCTGAGGACTCAAATGTTATTCCTCTGTACCCAGTAAATTCACGCCATATCCCACCCTTCAAACCGAAACATAGCCATGCAAATACAACTGCCTCACGGTTGAAACACGAATGGAACAGAAGTACCCAAGCAATCGACTTTTGTACAAAGTCTCCCTCTGGTAAAATCACCTGATGTGATAATCGCCGTATGTCGTATGATATGAACACATTATGGAAATAAATTTTCATTCGCTAACAATAATAAACTCAGTCTTGAATTAAACTATAATTTGAATAGGTACTCACACAATACTTTTATACATGCAATAATCGGCATACTCAGGACACACGAGGTCTTCCTTCCTCTCACTATAGATGGCGGCTACCAGACCCTCCATCCCGTATCGAAGGTAAGAGCAGGATCTCATGACCTCCCAAATTATAGGTAAGGGCTGATCACCCATACCGTATCCATACACAGCCAATAACATTAGAGGTACGCACAACACAGGACCAAGAAATACTGAATTCTGAAAATGAACACACCAATTATTTGTATTTATGAAATAAATAAGGATTCTTCGTGTGTGTTTTATGACAATAACATTACAACTAATAACAAAATATAATTTTTATTCGCTCTCAATAAAGGCAACTATTATATTCCTGATACATGAACAGATAACCTGATCTCTATAGACAAGTAAATGAAAAATATTACCAACATAAGTTAAAGGGAATTAGCTTTCTAAAATGTTTGTAGCAGGTAGCTGCAGTCTATAATTTTGTTCTTGTAAGTGAAGATAAAAGTATATTATTTAACTAATTAATTAATATATATTCTGCACTTGTAAGTTACAAATAAAATAATCTATTTATAAATGTTATGATCAAGGGTGGACTTATCTCTGCACAGAGATCTCTTCCAGTCAACCCAGTACAGTAAGAAAGCATTTCGTTAGCGGGCAGCTGAAGTGCTACAACTATTAATACATAAACAAATATACAGTTAAATACCCACATATTCCACATAGTTAATCCAGGATATGATCTGTGTATCAAATTTCATATAATTATATATGTAAACTTCATATTCCATATAAATCTGATTTATATGAAATTTACAAATTTGAGTAAAACTCAAAATGTATATACAACACAATATTATATGAAGTGAAAATATTGTATAAAATACTCAAAAAATCAATGGAAAAATCCAGAAGTAAAAAAATCTTATGTAAAGAAATATACTTATGACACTGCAAAATTTACAAATATGTCTTAAGACGAAAAAGAAGAGCCAAGACAAAAGGCTAGTATACTTACAACCACATTTAGAGTGGATGCTATAGCTATTCCTATAGATTCCGATATCCATGCTACCGCCACGCATATAGCCGTGTACATCAGAATCCTGGGCAGTTCCATGGGCTGCGAAGTGATCGGATACACAAAAGCTAAGAATATGAGAGAGAAAACTGTAGTGGCAAGAGTTCTGCAAGTAATATGCGCTGCGTAGTACGCCTTCAAACCGTACCATCTGTTGAAATACTCTCTCTTGATTAGATGGACTTCTCTCGGAACTGAAATGTAAATTAACGACGTTTTACTTGTTTAACCCAAAAGTAACGTAGGAACCCTTATTGGACTCGTTTTCAAATTGCCAATTGCCAATTGGTTGATAAAAACTATTGCTATATTCATGTTTACTTGTGTTTATAGAATACAAAAATTTATGATTATATCGGGAAGTTACTCGGTAGTATAATACTGATTGTCAATGTCTTAATAATGAAAAATAAAATATCTATTCTATATGCATATAATAAACCTACAACGAAATCATTTGTTTCTCTACATTGAATGTACCTGGTTAAACAATATAATTTTGCTACACCCAAACAGGGTTTCATGTACTTACTCTTCACAAGAACATTGTAACAATTCTATATTATATACGTGAATGCATTACAATAAATAAATAATACTAAAAGAACTTACATGTCGACAACGGCGGCATCATGGGCATGTACATCATCGCTATTAAACACACATAGAAGAAGTTGTAATTGAAAACAGTCTTGGAGGCATCGTAACCCATGTCACTGAAAAGAAGTCCTATTATGAGGCCCAGGAACACATGTAGGCTCATCCGCAGCAACAGATGACGCTGAAATAATCAAATGGTGGATTTTTAATTAAACAATGTAAGATCTTTACAAAATAGCCGTATTTTTTTTTAAATTAATGTGAGACCACCTCGGAAATAAGTTTTTATAAATATTACCATAATAGGGATTGTTATTGTTATAATAGTGTTTAGTTTTTTTCCTGATGACGGAATAAAAATACAATATGAAAATCCTATCTATAGTTAATTTTGTCAACAAAACGTTCATACAAAGAATATACCAATTCAATTCAATTTATTCTATAACAATATTACATTGTGTCGAATATGATAGGACTTTTAGACTGTACAAGTGCAAAATTACAAGCATGCAATATTTTTTTTTAATTACTACTTACTTACTACTACTTTACTATTACTACTTAGAATGGCAACCAAGCTGACGGCCCACCTGATGGAAAGTGGTAACCGTCGCCTAGAGACATAACAGAGTATAACTATTTCGCCCATGATATCCCCCATGCGTTGCCATTCCTGAGGACTCAGATGTTATTCCTCTGTACCCTGTAAATTCACGCCATATCCCACCCTTCAAACCGAAACACAGCCATGCAAACACAACTGCTTCAATAATTTTACATATTAACAATGTCACATACAAATACAATATAAAAGAAGGAAAATTCAAAATTATACTATATACAATATCGACTGTATTTATACAGCATAGTAAGTAACTTTGCCATCCGAGACAATAGTGGACCTGCTACTAGAGAAATATCCGGGTAATAAAAATGAGAGGCTTCTATAATTCCAATCTTTTTCTTTAAAGAAAATATAGACTGAGGATCTACCTTATGATTATTACTTGAAGTAAATCCCTAGTCTAAAATTTTATTATTCTTCTCCGTTTATAAGGATTTTGATTTCTGTATATTAATACTATATTTTAGATTATAAAATAATAATAATAATAGAATCTAGCTCTCTCTTATCAATTTATTGTAGATTGACAACAAGAGGCTTGCTTGCATTCCGTGTTCTGACTCAAGAGTTTAATTGTAAAAGTAAAAAAATATCCCGTACTGTAACTGCCTGTAATACTTGCTTTGGTGTGGCAAACGTGTGTAGATTATTTCGATCGCCACCTTCGTTACAAAAAAACAAGATCTTTACCCTATTTCTAACAGTCTGCAACATCATCCGCCGCAACAGTATGCGAAACTGTTGCCACGCGGTGCTGCCGTGCTTCAGTGCTTTACATGTCTCCACACCACTAGAGTTCAGTTGTTCCAGCTCCAACTCCTGGGAGCTATCTGGGACTTCGTAGTCCCTCCACTTTTGAGATCGGCCATTCTCTATTGCGGCTACCATTTTATTAAACATGAGAGCCATACTCCCCGCTTGATACATCTATTACTGAAATAAAAAAAAAAGTTGTTTAATTCACTTTCATTACTGTAACAATTTTTTTTATACTAAATTTTGCTCACATCTTCATATGCGTGAATTTTGGCATGTCAAGATAAAACATATATCATTTTATATAATAAACCTGTAGGAATACAACTATGGAAACTGCATGATCTTTGCATGATGCCAAAACACCATACAGACAAACTGACAAATATTTCTAAGAATTGAAACTCAAACTAAAGGGTTTCCTTTATATCACAGACATTGCCCAGTTATAATATCATTATATTTATAAGATTACGTACTTGTCGCATCGTGATGTTACTACACAAAAATACCCATAAAGTGTTCCCATATTTCACCACAAAGTACAGCCATGAAACGGCTGCATTCATATACACTTTAGAATGCAATTCCTCGAACGTAACCGCCATTCAAAAACCATTCCTCCGAGGAAATTATCAATTATTCGAGTTAGGGAGCCCCCGACCCATTAATCACTTCAGTTTACTGATCCTTCTGCTTATATCAAGCCTTCATTTTCAGGAATTTATGTTATTGAACTGGATAAAAGTACTCACTGAAGTCTGCCGGGTTGTGCGTGGTAGGGCAGGACAGGTGCAGACAGTGCAGGAAGGGCACGACGCCGGCGGCGGCGCCGTGGTAGGCGCAGCGGCCGTCCGCCACCACGTACACGTGGTCGAAGTGCGCGAACAGGCGCGCGGACGGCGTGTGCACCGAGCACACCACCGTGCGCCCGCCGCGAGCCACCCGCTTCAGCAGCGACACGCACATCGACGACGCCACCTCGTCCAGACCGCTGCAACCACCACCATTTATAGTCATCGCCGTTTTCGAAAAATAATAATTATATACCCACTTGAGCTATTTGTTTTTGCTGGCGGGGTAATAATGAAAATCAACGGATGCAAATAAAGTCAAACAATTTAGCTCAGTGTTTCGAATTCACCAGAAATTAACACTACGATTTCCAAGAGCAATTATCAGGCGCATTTCGCCTGCCATTGCTAGCAAAGGAAAAAGAACAAAGTATTGTTCTTTTATGGTATACCTCAATCAAAAAACAAGAAAACTTAATCATGGGCATTAATTCTTTCTCTACAAGAGGAGACTTTTCTATCTACGAATAACTAATCGATTTGTTACTGAAATCTAATCGAGATTACTGATGATAATACATATCCAATTCACATTTGCAGCTCAAGTTTTAAAAAAAACGGTTAAATTAACTTACGTGGTCGGCTCATCTAGAAATATAATTGGTGGGTTGTTGAGCAACTCGAGAGCGACGGACAGCCGCTTCTTCTCCCCTCCGGAGAGCTTTTCTGCCGTTGTATCCTTGGCTTTACTCAACATTAACAGTTGTAAGATTTCTTCCACCTTTTAATAAAAATATTGCAATTGTTTATATATCTAAAAATACAGAGGGAGACTTTATGCAAAAGTCGATTGCTTGGGTACCTCTGTTCCATTCGTGTTTCAACCGTGAAACAGCTGTTTGCATGGCTGTATTTCGGTTTGAAGGGTGGGATATGGCGTAAATTTACTGGGTACAGAGGAATAACACCTGAGTCCTCAGGAATGGCAACGCATGGGGGGTATCATGGGCGAAACAGTATACTCTGTTATGGCCATGGTACTGCTCATGTCTATAGGCGATAGTTACCATTTTACATCAGGTGGACCGTCAACTTGTTTGCAATTCTAAGTTGTATAAAAAAAAATTATACAACTTGAAATGATAAACAAGTGGACGGATAGTCCACTTGATGCGTAGCAGTCGTCATCGTTTATAGACATAAACAGCACCATAGGCCACCATTAAAATATATAAACCGGTTTTACACAATACGATTATATTGAGAATGAGTATAGTACTCCTTATCCATTTCCATTCCTGAAAACTTACGTATTATGCGTGTAATTTCACTTACATATTTTGCTTTTACTTTTACAAACTATGGGGACAAAAATATATTTTTATTTCGAATACATTGCACTACTTTTATTTTCAACGGACTTCCGAAAAGGAGCTCCATCCTTTATACTCCAATTTGGATTTGTTATCTGATAGGGTTACATTTAAATTCGTGCCACAGAAATGTTATCAAAATCGGCTCGAAATAACTGCTTTCGAACATGATTATTTTTGTAGAAAATCATCATTGGCTATTGTCAATGTCACCGTAACCTTAATTATTATTCACGCATTATTAACATAAAACAGAAATGTTTTAAATTATGCAAAATGTAAAATACGTATGAAAGCATCGTGGTTCAAGGCCAAAGATGGACCACTCCAATTTATATATCGCAAAAGTCGTAAGTTCGCATCTGTCCAAGACCGAAAACGTTTGTATACGAGGTATCGATACAAATTTCCAATTAACTCTCTATTGAAGAAAAATAATAATAGCATAACCCGATTAATCCGGAGGGATGGGGGTTGTTAGTAATAGAGTCTAATTTCTCCATTGCTTGCAATACACCCTATCAGGTAAATCTCCACGCGGTTCCCCCTGGAAACTTTTGTGGTTAATTCTAGTAGAATTTGTCACGACAAACCAACTGGCTTGTTTCATCCTCACCTATCATCTTTCACTGATGCCTCGCCAGCGTATACCGATAGCACAGGCGAGGTTACCATTTCATTATCACCTATAAAAAACCCCGATTAATCCGAATGACCGCGTTAGACTCGCCATATCGCGCAATAATATGATCCATTTAATAAGTCAACAAGTTTTTAAACTTATTTCGATCATACTTTGGGGAAAGTTTTTCAATTTAATCGCAGAGTTTTGTGTAACATCCTGATCATCGCATCCTGAATCGCTTCGTGATCGATCGATCATCGATCCTGAATCGTGATGATTCTTAATAATAATTTAAATCAGTATAAACTCTTTACCGGGTTAAGTCTGAGTTCGAATGTCACAATGTATTTAAATATAAACATAATATGACTTGTTACTTACATCCTAAAATTTAACCTCAAACAATGCTGAATTTTAAACATGGAAATATTATGCTACGACTATGTGGAAGTAATATTATATCAGTCCAAAGATCGACGAAACAATTGTTTAGTGCAAAAATGAAAGGACGCAAATACTCAGCAATGCGATACCCAAACATATCATGTTCGGAGACAAACTCGCTGACGAACACGTCTGTGACTTCGAGTGGAGTATTATTTGACAATCTCAACTGTGAGACGAAATATACTGTTAAACCCAGTTCGTATTATAAATTGACGAGATGTTTGTCTCGTCTCGACTAAAGATTTACATAAAAATTTCTTAGTGGAAAATTATGTTTACAAATCAAAATGTTTAATGACCTTATGTACCATTTATATAATTTTCATAAAATTAACATAATGTAGTACATAATTATTCTATAAAAAAAAAAAAAAATTATTAAATAAAAAAAATATTTAATTTTCCATGAGTGTCGTAAGAGGTAACTAAGGGAAATTAATGGTCAAGCGATGGGCACCAGCGTCCCTCTTAAAACATCACCACAGCCTAACCGCGGTCGCCAACCTGCCTGCCAAGTGTGGCAACTACTTGTAAAATCCCCCTTTATAGGAAGGTTTGTGTTTAACAATGAACAGTTAACGGCTGATATGATAGAAATAATAAAAGATTTCGGTTTGAAAGGTGGGATATGGCAGTGAATTTACAGGGTACCTTAGTCTTCGGACAGAAAATCGGCATTTTTATGTCACATCTTCATCTTTAAAATTGATATTTCCAAACTCAATTCTTGACTCACAGCATCGAACAACGGTCGATGCTTTTGCTTTCAAATCAATGAGCTACTACACACTTTGTTATTTTTCACACCATCGAGTTATTTCGCATCGAAGTACAAATTGCTAATTGTGATTGTATTTCAAGATAAGAATAGAAACTTTTGATACTTGATTTTCTCTGGCCACTCCACTAAATGAAATGGATGAAAATAGAATGGTAATCCCATCAAACTGGCAGAGTACGTGCGAAGGATAATAGATGAGAATGAAGTAGCTCAGTTGTCCTGACATGACAAAATCACTAGGATTTGATCACGATAATTACTACGGTAGCCAGCTAATAACAATAATATATCAGGGATTTTAAGCACTGAAGTTTACTAACTGCAAGCCTCATTACTTAAGGTCGTGTCTTTGAAAGGTGTCTGTTGCCTCTCTTATGATGTTACACCATTTCGCACGATAGCTGCAATTGATAGTCCTGTAATGGCGGTTACTTGGTCCGACCACCATCTAGGTGATCGTCCGCGTGGTCTTTTTTCCTCTATCTTGCCTACAACCATTAGCTTGAGAATTAAGAATGGCAACGCACGGGGGGTATCATGGGTGAAACACTATACTCTGTTATGTCCATGGTACTGCTCATGTCTATAGGCGACGGTTACCACTTTCCATCAGGTAGGCCGTCAGCTTGTTTGCCATTCTAAGTTGTATAAAAAAAAAAAATAGCTTGTCCAGATTGTCGGACTGTCGTCGAGCAATATAACCGAAGTATCCAAGAATCCTCCGATAGCAGACTGTCGAGAGCCTATCTTTTATGCGGAGTTGCGTCAGGATAGATATATTCGTGCGCTTTGCTGTCCAGGGAATTCGCAGCATCCTTCGCCAGCACGGCATCTCGAGAGCATTAATCTTTTTCCGCTCCTTTGCTCTTATTGTCCATGACTCGACTCCATACAAAAATATAGAGAAAATACTAACTGTACTGCTAACAATATATCCTATCAGACAGACCTCCACGTCCTCTTCTGGAAACTATCGCGGTTAATTCCTGGTAAATTCGTCACAATGAACCAAAGAGCCGACTTCACCCTCCCGTTATCACTTATTGGTATTCCGCCTACATATACATACACACAGGATACAATGGCACAGGCAGAATTAACGTTCTCTATTTTTATTATAAGACAGGCTAATATGTTAATCAACATCTGTAAAAATATGACAGTTACCACAACGAGTTTTGCTTGTGCGGTGATGCCGACACCGATCTTGAGGTCAGCGGCAATGAGCATCGCCTCGCGGATGGTGATGTACGGCTGCAGCAGATCCTCCTGCATGATGTACCGCGACAGCTTCCTGAACTGACGCAGATCCCGTGGCTCGCCGTTCGTGTATACATGGCCGCCGGCTCCCTCCACTCTGCAAGTGGAAATAAAGGGCATTGCAGTTACTACGATACGATATTTGTAACATGAACATTTCTGATGGAATGCTCAATAGAAATAAGTGTAGCACTGCAGTACCTGTAGCCAGCGAGGACGTTGAGCAGCGTGCTCTTGCCGGCGCCCGAGGGGCCCAGTATGGCGGTCAGCTGGCCCGACCTGAACTCGCCGTGGATACCGCGCAGGATTATTTTCGAACCTGAAACATAACGAACTGAGTTTAAAATTCAAATACAATTTCAAATCTTCCTTATTTAAATAGACTTGTTTACAAGCACTTTTAAATTGTAATTTTTTTAAATCTACTGCAGGGTTCGGTAAGTTATCTTCTCTTGAGAAGAGCCCGCAACAAATACATATACATATGACTAAAATTATACGGTAATTTAGACTACGAAAGTAACTAGAATAAAGTATACTATGAAAGTAACTAGAATAAACAAATCTGACAGTCTCGAGAGGGGGGAAAGGGATTGTTAGTTTTTTTTTGTGTTTGTTTTTGTACGTTATGGTAATAGCGACCTTTTAACACATTTACGTTACTCTCGTAGTAAATTATTGGTTTTATACCTTTTGATGTTTTTGAAACAACAATGAGTGCACAACATATTCACATAGTAATCTCATTAAAATATATTTCAAATAATTTTGAACTGTAAACTTTTTTAGACACGTTGGGCACTTTTTGGGATTAGAAAAGAGCACAAAATTCAGGTACATATTTATTTATATATTTTTTTCTCACCTTTAATTCTTTAATTTTCGTGTCATATAAAAATAATTTCTAATAAAACAATACTTCCTAAAACATGTGTCTTAATAAATCAAAAATTAATGTTTACAAGTTTATGTGAAGCTAAATTGTTGTCACTTGCAATCCTAAGATTGGCTAATGTTTTATTGTACTAAAGAAAACAAAAACCTTTTTAGAGACTATTACGAATGGAATCCTCGACAATCAAGTTCAACTCACACTTGACCAGCTCTTTTATATCACAAAAGTATCCATCAGTGACGCATGGAGTGTGAAAATTAATTAATGAGCCATCACAGAGACCAATGTGGAAATACTGGTTTGGCCATCACAAATGTAGATATATTTAGCATTATTTCTTAAGGATCCTATTTTATTATATTAGTTATGTCAAGACTACGATCTTCAAATAACTATTTAAATTAAAAAAAATTTGATCATAATACATTTCACGTGCTACAAAAGCATACACTTCTTCAATTTGATCGTGTTCAAACTTGTGTGAAACTGGCAAGCAAGCATATAGTCCGTCTGTTGGTAAACGGTCACTGTAGCCTGCAAAACTGGGGATATCACGTGCCCATTGCCAATTCAGAAGAAACCCTAATACGCCCTTTTTGGAGAACCCTATACCATTTGGAAATCTATGTAGGAAGCTCATTCCACAGTCTGTAAGTTCGCAGGAGAAAGGTTTAGGTTCTAGCGTGTGAAGATGAATTCCCTGTTGATGGCAAGCAGTGCGATGATAAAAGATACGAGGGGGGAAAGGGATTGTTAGTAATGGAGACTGATAATCCTATTGCTAGCAATATACCCAACCAGGTCGACCTCCTCGCGGTTCCCCCTGGAAACTATCATGGTTAATTCCTGATGAATTCATCATGATGGGCTAACTCGCCTGTTTTCATTCTCATCTATCACCTTTCACTGGTGCTCCGCCAGCGTATTCCGTTAGCGTAGACGGGGTTACCATTCCATTTTTACCCATAAAAAAGATACGAAGAATTCTTCAAAACACAGTCCGTACAAAGGCAGAATAATTTCGCCTTAAACTAAAGGGTTCTATGCCGTCGGCTATTCTCATAGATCACGTTTAAACCGAATCAAGAGGACCAAGCCTACATCTATTTTCTCTAATCAACAGACGAGAGCAGTACTCCATAAGGTACCAGTCTTACGACTTATACAACAGTAATCTTTATCTCGGGGTGCGGTATCCTTTCACTTTATTAAGCACTTCTTCAACTTCAAGACGGTTAGGGAACTTGACAGTGCTAGGGATGTTCACACAGAGCACACAATACATTTAGAAATGGTAACGGATATGTTCTAAATTACGGGACCACTACAAGTTTTTAGCAATTATGCAAGTCCAGAAATTCTAGGCGTCTACCTATTTAGCTAATCTATGTGGGGATGAGGGCAGATAGAGCAGTACTCACTCTTGCCGACGCGCACGCTGTAGGTGAGGTCGTGGAAGGCGAGGGTGACGGGCGGCCGCTGCGGCAGGTGCGACAGGTGCCCGCGGCCGATGCTGCGCGCAACGCCCGCGCCTGCGCCCGCGCTGTTCATCTCCATACTGCCAGAGTAAACGAATACTGCTCCGATAGTGCACCACACACGAATTATTCTTCTGACACAAGGACACCGTTACCCACACATTCGCACATCGTGTATACCTTTTGGAACAATGATTATTTAATACATAATTACTTACCGATAATGGTTAAAGTAATTGATAATTAATTTATTAAACAATAAAGATTTATCATACGGCTAGCGATGTGTCCCCGCTTCACAGAACTGTAAATTATGATATACTAGCTGCGTCCCTTGTTACTTAGAACATAAAGTATGTTCTATCTATGTATGTATTAAGTTAGAATAAGGCCGATGTTCACTAAATTTTGCTTTTGTTGCAAGAATGAAAATAAATATTTTAGATTTTTTTATGCAACTTAAAATGGCAAACAAGCTGACGGCCCACCTGATGGAAAGTGGTAACCGTCGCCTATATGACATAACAGAGTACACTGTTTCGCCCATGATAGCTCCCATACGTTGCCATTCCTGAGGACTCAGAAATGGCAACGTATGGGGACAACGAAATCGAAACAAACCGAAACACAGCCATGCAAACACAACTGCTTCACGGTAGAATCACGAATTGAACAGAGGTGTCCAAGCAAACGACTTTTGTACAGTCTCCCTCTGGTAAAAAGAAAGTATCGAACTTTATATTTTAGCCTGATTCCACGACTATTACTCGCACTTTCTTAGTTTTACTCTTAAATCATTGTAGAAAATTATTTTTGTTTATTTATTTATTTATACTTTATTGTACACACTAATAATACATAAAAAAAAAATGACAGGTAAACAGATGTACAGTGGATGCATGTGTCTCTGGACCGTTCTTTAAAGCAGTCTATGGGGGAACCCTATGTCCAGCAGTGGACGGATAATGGCTGAAGTGATGACGATGATGATGAAACAGATGTACAAATACGAGCTTAACTCTACAAGAGTTCTATTCCAGCAAACCCAAAATGGAAAGCAGCGTCAGTGGATAGAGAGGTGTGCAATACAGTGGCAATTTACAGTATGCTTAGATCTTTAAAACTACGTAACGGATTTTAATGTTTTTTTAGAAAGATTAGATAGGATTCAAGAGGAAGATATATATATATATATATATATATATATATATATATATATATATATATATATATATATATATATATTCGCACCCATGCGAAGCCGGGGCGGGTCGCTAGTATTCTATATATTTGCACACATAGCTAAACAATTTGTTTCTTATTTAGCTAAGCGGAAAATGTCATCCAGTACGACTCTATTCGGATGACGTCGACTTCGTGCATATATTGTATATATATTAGTAGCTGTTTTAAACAAATATTTATACCAGAGGGAGACTTTGTACAAAAGTTGATTGATTACCTCTGTCCCACTCGTGTTTCAACCGCGAAGCAGTTGTGTTTTCATGGCTGTGTTTCGGTTTGAAGGGTGGGATATGGCGAAAATTTACTGGCTACAGAGGAATAACACCTGAGTCCTCAGGAATGGCAACGCATGGGGGGTATCATGGGTGAAACAGTATACTCTTTTATGTCCATGGTACTGCTCATGTCTATAGGCGATGGTTACCACTTTCCATCAGGTGGGCCGTCAGCTTGTTTGCCATTCTAAGTTGTATATATAAAAAAATAAAAAAATAAATTGTTTCTGTGTACAAACTGTCAACTTTCAAAGATATATATAATAAGGGTAGAGGTGCAACCACAACAATATAAAATTATGTCATACAGGACTCATGAAGTAAAACACCATACAATGCGTTAACATTTTTTTTGGCAATAAATGTTTTATTGTTGTCCGTACTATTAACCCACATTATTTATTTATTTATTCAGGGCCATAGCTAGACTCAAGTTTGAGGTAGGGCAAAAGAATTTTTTGGTAGAGCAGAAACCATGATTAAGTGACTTCGAAATAGCTAATCTATACAGGTTCCTTGGGACCTTTCATTTTAAGGAGGCCTTTTAACGTAGGGCATTGCCCCTCAATGCCCCCCCTCCCATAGGGGGGGGCATATATATAGATATATATAATTTAAATAATTTACTACCAGAGGGAGACTGTACAAAAGTCGTTTACTTGAACATTGTTGCCATTCCTGAGGACTCAATTGTTATATCTCTGTACCCTGTAAATTCATTGCCATATCCCACCCTGCGAACCGAAACACAACCCATAAAATTCCACGCAGTCCTTACATCGATATTCAAATTCGAGTTTACACACTTATTATTAACAAATTTATCACTCACCGGTATATTAAAGGAAGGGTGATTATTATCCGGTACAACTAAATAGTCCACCTTTTGAACAACGACACGACTCAACGACTCACTCACAAATACCAGTCCAACATATCACCAAAAGTATTATTGACGCAGTTTACCTTCCATTAATCATAGAATGACAATAAATATTCACATCTATTACACATCTATTCGCCGAATTAAAATCTCCACAATGACCTTTCCATTATTCGTTACAATATTTTTGATTTCACTAAATATTATTTCATACATATCGTTACTTGTATTTGGAGGAAAATAAATTAATAAAACTACGATCAATAAACTATTATTATGATAAAGTCCAACGCAAACTAGTTCGCGACCAGAGACCGTAAGCGATGACGTCACACCAATACGGAGGCTGTGCCGTGAAGCCGCGACGGTCTCTCCATCGCCTCGTCGTTCACCTGCTCGATCCATCCGTAATTTTGTAAATCTATCTCGTATTACCTATGAGGCGTGCATGCTGGAATTCAACCAGGTTTCTGTAAGTAGAAACAAATCTGCAAACACACTTGCAATACTCGATAATATGTTATGCAACCTAATACGCAAACCTGGAGGGAAAGGGATTGTTAGTAATGGAGACTGAGAATCCCATTGCTAGCAATATACCCAACCAGGTCTACCTCCTCGCGGTTCTCTCTGGAAACTATCATGGTTAATTCCTGATAAATCCATCATGATGGGCTAACTGGCCTGTTTTCATTCTCATCAATCACTTTACTGGTGCTCCGCCAGCGTATCCCGTTAGCGCAGGCGGGGTTACCATTCTATTTTCACCCATAAAAAAAAAATAAGCAAACCTCTAAAATTCTGATAGTACAGTGTTAGAGATCTTGAACGATTCCGCAGCTACTCTACAGATGCAGTTGTATGCACTCTACAGTTCAGTTCACATACATATTTATAATAACATTTGTATAAAATAAAAGTAATATTGGGCGTAACACACTATCTTACCGATCTCCAAATTAATTGAATCTATATCCGGCCGAGTATGATGTCATATTATTATTTTTGTCTGTTTTGTTACAAAATACTGTTGCCTGTGCGATGTGAATGTTTTTTGTTTGAATCTTTTAAACAACTTCAAAGATTCGAGACGGGAATTACTTTGGCTCAAGCCCTGCTGTTACTTCCTCTTGATTATGCTGACATATATTATCTTAACACATCAATAATACGTAATTTATTTATAATTTATTAATTTATTAAATACCAAAGAGTTTTGTAGGGATATACAGAAAGATAGAACTTGCATTTTGTGTGGAAATAAATTAGTGCTTCAGTATAGTTGTTATATATATTTACTAGCTGACCTCGCGAACGTTGTTTTGCCATATACATTATTTATAGAAAATAGTTTTAGTAAAAAAATGGACGAAAACTGTAAAGAGAGTGAGAGAAAGGAGGCCGGCTTCGCCTTATTCCTACTCCGTAATATAACTGATCGATTGTTAGTTGAACAATTATCGACCGGTGAGGAGTGATGATTAATTTAAACTAAGAAAAAATATATAATTAAAGCAAATTGTAATTATAAACTATACATGAAAATTATATTAGATTTCCATCTTGCAACCCTATAGCGGAATATAAAAAACAGGGGTTGATCGTAAAAAGGTGAAAATTTGAAGTTGTATCTATTTTTCAATGCTAAATCATATTAAAATAAAAAATTATCATTGAGGGGTATAAAAAATAGATGTTGGCCGATTCTCAGACATACCCAATATGCACACAAAATTTCATGAAGTTTGGTAACAAACACCGTGACACGAGAATTTTACTTCAATAAATTACCTAAAATCCTTTCTTACTACTTGTGTAGGTTATAAAAGGAATCTACAGTATAAATTTGATATTTCTAGTTTAAGTCATTTCAACTATTATTTGATATTTGTAGTTGAAGTCATTTCTTGTAAATAATTAATAAGCATTAACTTAATTAATGGTGAATGTCGTCCTCCGTGGCGCAGCGGTCAACACGCCTGCCTGCGACGTGGAGGCCCCGGGTTCGATTCCCGGCCAGGTTATGATGGAAAACGATCTTTTCCTGATTGGCCTGGGTCTTGGATGTTTATCTATATATGTATTTATTATAAATATAGTATCGTTGAGTTAGTATCCCATAACACAAGTCTCGAACTTACTTTGGGGCTAGCTCAATCTGTGTGATTTGTCCGTATATATATATATTGTCCGTATAACTATGCTTTGATGAGTCAGTCGATCAAGACTTTTTTATATTATAGTATAAATCTATTTATAGCTATAAACCATGAGTATACCTAAAATTTATATTGGATTTTTTTGCGTAGCCTCGTCAGCGAGGGCCTCACCCAGGAAACGATATTTGAATAGCGATTATTAAAGTGTAAATAAATATAAGTATTTTTATAAATACATATAACATTGTGTACAGTTAAATTAAACAATGAAATATTTGAAAATTCAACATTCAAAATGAATATTTTTAAATAATATGACGTTAAACATTTATTCTTACATAAAAAAAATATCCGCAAACGTTTCTTGTAGCTCTGTCAACGACTGTACCTACCATTTAGGTATTCTGCCAACACGTGTATCTTGTTACGCATTGTTCATATAAATAATATCATCATTTATTTAGTAAAATTTTACTTCGTAATAAAAAGGTGTGTACTTCAATCGTAAACACATTAAAAGTGCATATTCCTTCCTAAAAGGCCGGCAACACACCTGCAACTCTTCTGATGTTGCGGGTGCCTTTGAGCGACGGTAGTCATCTACTCGTACCACCAGGAGAGCCGCACGCTTGTTAGCCCCCATGTTATAAAAAAAATGACATACTCACACACATACATGCGCACGCTCACGCACACACATACGCACACGCACGCTCGCGTACACACACACATACATGCACACGTGCGCGCACACATACACACACACACGCACGCACACACAACATAAACAAAATAGTTGCATGGCACGTGCAACCTCGGCGCATTCATGCACCCATGACTCAGTTCCTGAACCATGATTTTTTACGTCCTCCTCTTTTCACGTCTCTCGCCTTCTATTTTGCCCATCGTTACAAGTTGAAACAACATGTTATAGCACAGTAACACGTCTATTGGAGCCCTACCATTGTATATCGTTAGCATAGCAAACTATAGCACCTGTTATTGATAGCTTGTTTCACATAACTTAGACCTAGTGGTACTTATTGTAAAATAAAATAAAATTTTATTATTATATTATTATTATTATACGAAAGTGCACCATTTCATATTTACTCAATAAAAAAATGCACGGAATACTGCCACCATGCTGCAGCTGTGCTTTTATAGCTGTATTTCAGCTTGGAAAGCGGATCGTTCTACTGTAATATAACACCGTAGTTGTTAGGATTGGTAATTCATAAGGAGTGCCATGACCGTTATAATAAATTCAATGATATTTATAATAATTTGAATGACGAATAGTGATAATCATCGCCTTATACGTGAAAGTCACAGGCCACGGCTACCACTCTCCATCAGGTGGGCCTTCAGATTATTTGGCATTCCAAATTGCATAATTAATTTAAAATGTGTTCCACAAAAAAAAATACCGACCTCAATTGTGTTAAATTAGTTATTTAAATTTAAAAACAAAACTGCTAAAATTATTTTGATAAAATTTCTTTTTAACAAATTTTTTTTACAACCTTAAAATTTACGTGTCTCCTGATAGATAGATAGATAGATACTCTTTATTGTTTCCTGCGAAAGATTGTGATGTGCCTTCCTGATGTGCCAGTTTGACCGGAACAGACTTATCCTAGCTGGGAATGATGCATCATATACAAGGCCAAGTTCAACTAATTTGTAAGTGTTTCAGATAAAGAAAGATATTTCCAAATTGATTTATAACTGACTTAATTACTACTGAATTAATAAACACAAAAAAAAACAACAACTAATAAGAAAATAATGAGGACTATTACATCTGCATTGTTTTATTATTATATTCTTTCTTGCACTAAAACATACAGTAATAATAACAAAGTAAGTAAAGGCGAACTCATCTCTAAAAGAGATTTCTTCCAGTCAACCTAACACAGTGGCATAAAAGGTACTGAAATGAATTTAGTAAGGAAAACATTTTGGTAAATAAAAGATATTTTAAGAATCACATTTTATTTCATTTTTCTTAACCGAAATATCACACCCCATAACCTAGGTAACAAGACAGTCTAATAATATCAATATTTAGAATAATTTATTATTCCAAGTGACGGTTTTAATCTTAAAGTGGTACAATAAGTAAGTATAAACTAAATATTACATATATACACACACCGCATTCCACTTTTCCATTGCACAGGGTTAAGTTTGGATCGATCCTTTTCAGGCAGTGTAGCATTCCACTAGTAGAATTGAACATTTATTTAAATAAATACACATAATGTTAACAGAAATTTCAAAGAGTAACTGTTGAGTTTCCTGCGGTCTCTTCTCAACAGATAACAACTTTCTGAACTCTGCAGTAGATTAAAAAAAAGACGATTTAAAAGTGCTTGTAAACAATCTATTTGAACAAATATGATTTAAATTTGAATTTAAATTTGAATCGAAAGGAACATGGATTGAAAAAAAAACAAAACAATGTTAATCCTCATATACTTACTAGATAGGGGAAACCCGCTGAATACAACCTGTATATTTAATTATATTATTTTTACATTTATATTAGTAAACCCATATATCTTAAACCACGTATTTTATAGATGGATAGATAGATAGATAGATACTCTTTATTGTTTCCTCCATAACATTACAATACTAAACTTATTATAAATACAAACAATTACAAGAAAATGTTACACTGAGAAAACACTGGGCGATCTTATCGCTAATAGCGATCTCTTCCAGGCAACCTTTGGGTGGAGAGGAGTAATTACAAAGGTATTATTAATGATCTCCAAGTATCTGATAATGATTAAAACTGAGATTCTTGTTATTAGAACATAGAACAAACACGGGAACAGTTCTTATGGATTACATAAAAATAATATTATAGTAATCAATTAAAAAATAACAAACATACATACATTTTAACTAACACAATCCATTTCATTAAAACTGGTGGTACATATTATTGTATTTTCGTGAATTTCAATTATATTTCCTATTTTTTTTTTGAAAAAACATCTATGAAAAACATTTGTTTTTGAGACCCTATAATTTTTATGGAATAAATTGCTATAGTTGACATACTATGAAACGTATCATACACACGAATGAAGAGTCCTCTCCTACTTTTATTATCACAAGAAACAGTCACCTCACCACTGCAAAACCCAGAGATATTAAAATTCGAATATTATATTCTACAAAGTGTGTTTGGTTTACAACTTAGGCACTAACAGAAAGACTTATAATTGTATATAAAAATTACAATGAAATACCTATACACAATTGAGAATGAAGGACGAAGTTCTATAAGGTGGGACGCGAGCATGTTCGCCGTTCAAAGTTTTATAAAAGAAAAGAAAAACGGTAACATCCAATACATAATTCATAACAAAATTTCAATGTGATATCGTTTCACGTTAATACAAATTGGAAATACACATTTTAATAACGAATTAGTACATATTTATGTCCGAGTAATCCCAATCACGCGAAGTCGCGGGTAAAAGTTAGTATATATTTTATTTACACTAGTCACTACATCACCCAAAAATTATACTACAGAGACAGCAACTACTTGTATCAAATATAATTTAAGTGGCAAACATTTAATACATTTAATTCCTAAATATAATTATACAATTAAAAAATTACCTCTATTTTCTGTTCAAATTACTACAGAGGAGGGGTCACACCGTATCACACAATCATGTACTTGTAAAATTTATCGATATCCAATAGTAATTGTCCCGTTAAAACATAGACAGACAGACGATAATGTTGGCTTTACTATAATACAAATGAAATGTCGCTATTGAAGTGCTACTAAAATAAAATAACAAAGGAACACGTTACTTAAAACAGTACAAAACTATCATATACTCAGATCTTTCTTATCAGTAGGATGCTGATATTATACTTATCTTCTCACTTTTAAAATAAAAAAATCTATGAACTCCCCAAATTGACATAAAACAATTTCTTTACTAAATTGTACAACTACCTAACTGTTTTCACTGATGAGACATGCTCATTTTAGCCTTGATGAAGTTGCCAATGATTTTAATACTGCGATACGCGTAGTTGGGCGACAGCCGCTGCCGCAGCAGGTAGTAGCCGAGGAAGTTCATCAGCAACAAGATGACCACCAGTACTCCGAAGTCGAACCAGAACGACACGCCCGACATACCCAGAAGCTTCACAAAATTGCTGAAACATGTAAAAGGGAAAATCAATTAAAATTTTTATACCGTTTGTAATTTTTTATCATCGTCATCATCATTCCAGCCATTATTCGTCCACTGCTGAACATAAACCTCCCCTATACACTGCCATAAGGAACGGTCCTGAGCCACCTGCATCCACTGACTCCCTACAATGCATTTCAGGTTGTCACTGTATCTAGTGGCGGGGATCGTCCTACACTGCGTTTGGCCATATGGAATCACCACTCAAGAACCCTTCTTCCCCATTGGTTGTCGGTTCTTCGAGCTATGTGACCAGCCCATTGCCAATTCATCAGAATATGTCGATTACTTTGGTTCTTTTACAGATATTCTCGTTTCGGATTGTATCACACAAAGAGACTACAAGCATAGCCATAATTCTTTATACTATCTACCAAATAATGACAAGGATAATTCGATTCACAAGATGAAATGTGACAAATGTCTTATGTCGTATACACATGAACCATAACAGACTTGCTTGTGGGTACAATTTCAATTTGATGGATAAGTAATCACCTAATGTTCTTCATTTCGCAGAAGTCTTTATCTTCGGGACACACGAGATCTTCCTTCCTGCCACCGTAAATGGCGGCCACTAGACCCTCCATCCCGTACCGAAGATAGGAGCAGGATCTTGCTAACTTCCAAATGATAGGAGGCGGTAGGTCCCCATCACCGAATCCATACACAGCCAGCAACATTAAGGGTACGCTCAACGCTGGTCCTAAGAATACCGAGTTCTAGAAATTAAGATAACATTAAAGATATTAGAAAAATCGTGTCAATCTAATGAATCCTTGTATACATTTTAGAAATATAAAAAGTGAAATCAAACACATATTGCTATTAAAGTTCATAGTAAACTTTTCAACAGCTTTTGATTATGTTGGATCATAGATCGATCACTGATCTGTTCATTCTAAAATATTACGAAGAAAAGATCTTAAGCTTCATTTAATCATATTTAAATAATAGATAAAAATACAAAATGCAGAAATTGACAATGTAAGAAATTTGCTAATGTAAAAATGGGTGTATCTAAAGGCTTAATTTTGAGTCCATTTCTAAAACCATAAAGTTCGCGAACAAGTGCTTCTCCCTTTCTCTCTCTTTTATGAAGAAGTAAATCTAAAAAGAAAGTTATAAATATAAAGGTTGATATACTTACAACAACGCTAAGAATAGACGAAATGGCCGTTCCCATAGACTCTGATATCAAAGCCACAGTGATACATATGGTTGTGAACATCAATATCCTGGGCAATTCCAAGGGTTGCGAGGTGATGGGGTAGGTGAGAGCTAAATATATAAGGCTAAAAAATATGGTCGCAGGAGTTCGGGAAACAACAAGCGCTGCGTAGTATGCCTTCAAACCGTACCATCTGTTGAAATACTCTCTCTTCATTAGCTGGACTTCTCTCGGAACTGAAAAATAAATTATCAACATCAATGGCTTCCATTTAATTAGTTATACAATCTGAATCGATATTTTGGATCCAGAGACAATTTAAGAGCTCTTTTCCATCCGAAAAATAACAATGAAAAACTTATTAAACTCGTCCCCAAACTTCATCTTAAGGGAAATAAAATGTAATAGAAACACAAATTACATTTAAGTAAAATTTTTTTTTTATACAATTTAGAATGGAAAACAAACTGACAGCTCATCTGGTAGAAAGTGGTAACCGTCGCCTATAGACATGAGCAGTATCATGGACACAAGAGAGTATGTTGTTTCACCCATGATACCACCATGCGTTGCTATTCCTAAAAATTAATGTATTATGCCTTTGTACCCTGTAAATTCACTGCCATATCCCACCCTTCAAACCGAAACACAGCCATGCAAACACAATTGCTTCACGGTAGAAACACGAATGGGACTGAGATACCAAAGTAGATGACCTTTGAACAGTCTTCCTTTGGTCAAAATATCAAGAATCTCAGTGTTAAATTTTATTTAAATAATAACGTATGCGTAATTATAATGAAAACTGAATAGTTTCAACTTAATTTTAGAACAAAATATCCTTCTTAAAAATTCCTGTAATTTTTAATTAACAGAATCCGATACAAAAAGTATTTTGTTTATTTATTTAACACTATAAATACTGGCTTATTAAAACAAACTCATACATTTTTTTTTCAATAAGATTATTAGAAAATCAAATATTTAACTTTCATTCTTATTACAAAACTGCCAGCTTTGTTACAAAGGCGTGTAATAGAATATATAACTTACATTCCAACAACACCGGCATCATGGGTATGTACAGCATCGCTATTATACAAGCATAACAGAAGCCAAAGTTGAAAATAGTCTTGGACGCGTCGTAACCCATGTTGCAAAAAAGAAGTCCTATTATGAGACCCAGGAACAGGTGTAAGCACACCCGCAGCCATAGGTACGCCTGGAATGACAAATAAATACTTATTAATCATTTATAATTTTATTATAACAGCTACTTCAATCATGATAAAATTTGTAATTATTAGTTTACAGGAGTATCCACTATAGACTACAAAAAAAAATTCATTGATTCGAGCAGGCAAAAAAATACTGATAATGGGATACAAAGAGATAATATAAAAATAGAAAAAAGAAAAGCAAGAGAGGCAAAGAATGGCCTATTATGATCAGATATAATCTAAGCGAGAAATCAAAAGTCTTCGGAATTAAGGTATACTATGCACGATATGAGTTATAAAAATTGATAATAGACCTCTGTCTTTAGAGTAAAGCTGTAAAGCTTTTGACACTCGATACTTCTGCCTACCCTATACGAAAATTGGTTATGAAAATACACAAATGACGTTATAGTTGACAAATTATATGACCACTAAGTAAGCATTTTCAATTAAAAAATAATCATTGAGATTTTTTAGTTTAAAAATGATGCTCTGACGATTGCAAGAAATGAATAACTATTTTTTCTTCTGTTCTAAATTACGAAATTGTACATGTATACAGAAGAACACTATAGTGTTCTTCTGTATACATGTACAATTTCGTATGCAAACTCTCTCATATTCAATGTTGCCACATTATGTGCATATTTGCACGAAGTGTTCTGATTCTTCTCTTTTTCTTTTCATTTAAGAGTTTCCTCTTGTCGGTGCAACTAATTTATGCATCTTCTTCTAGCCAGTTCTATCCCAGGCCATATCCTTGACCTCCCTATACAACATGTTCTGATTCAAAGAATGGCATAGATATGGTAGTGAAAATTCCAAATAAAAAAAAGTAATGGTTCCTTTGCGGTAAAGGTTCATAGACTTAATTACAACCCCTCTCATATTAAAGGTAGGCCATACCTTATTTCTAAGAGTCTGCAGTAACATTCGCCGCAGTAATATGTGAAACTGTTGGCATGTGGTGCTGCCGTGCTTGAGGTTATGCTTCTCCACACCACCAGAATTGAGCTGTTCCAGCTCCAACTCCTGGGAGGTGTCAGATCCAACTGCGTAGTCTCTCCAACTTTGACATCGGCCGTTTTCTATTGCAGCTACCATTTTGTCAGCATGGGAGCCATACTCACCGCTGGATACTTCTATGACTAAAATTGAAAACAATTATTTTTATCATGTCTTTTACGGCAAAAAAAAGATTAAAGAATGTTGCACTGTGCTTATATACACTCGATAGTCTGCCAATCATATTTAATTAAACAGCAAATTGTTGTTTCAATAACAAAAATACTCATAAATGTATCAGACACGAACCGAATTATTATTTATAGTTTCAAAGATAAGTGCCATGAATACTTGCTCTGCATGTTTAAAATTCAAAATTTAAAACCCAAATATTACATCTCTAATATCACACCAGAACTTATCAAATTCAAATTCTTCTGTAAACCGACATAGTACTACAAAATCACAATAAAATTATTAATGATTGGTATTAAAAATTCGACTCCACTGGTCTTTATAAAGTTAATATAGACCTTTTTGGCTCAGGCGTGCATCATGCAAAAACAACATCGATACAAGAACTTTTGCAGGTCGAGATACTGTTTCCAAAATTGCCTTTAAAGGATACTTTGCTAAACATAGTAACATTTTTAATTCCTGATTAAAAAAAAAATGTTGAGAACTCACTGAAGTCGGCCGGGTTGTGCGTGGTGGGGCAGGACAGGTGCAGACAGTGCAGGAAGGGCACGACGCCGGCGGCGGCGCCGTGGTAGGCGCAGCGGCCGTCCGCCACCACGTACACGTGGTCGAAGTGCGCGAACAGGCGCGCGGACGGCGTGTGCACCGAGCACACCACCGTGCGCCCGCCGCGAGCCACCCGCTTCAGCAGCGACACGCACATCGACGACGCCACCTCGTCCAGACCGCTGCAACCACCACCATTTGTTACTATGGCTCTATGACTGTTTTTATAAAAAAAGGGCGTTACAGGGAAAGCCATAGAGTATTTCACTATGTGTGTGAAAGTCCATATCACTGGCTATTTGATTATAATTATTTTGTTTAACTCCACTACCATTAGTATGTGTGTGACTGCCAACACTCGAAGATTGACCACCATCATTACTACCAGAAATTCTAACCTTCCATATTAGCCCTCTATCTTCGACTGATATTTCATCCACGCACGTTATACGGCGCGTGTTTCTCTCTCTCTCTCTTTGATAAAATCAAAAAACTCGGTTTATCAAGACTAAAACAAATTATAAATGATAAAACCCTCATATCAAACTCATACCGAAACCTCATACTTATTGAGTTTAAAGAAAAACATTCTACAATATGACAAGTACACAAAATAACGAAAGTTATTGTAAATATTTTGGAAGGCCAAAAATTTGACCGCAGAATTTCTGAATGTGGCATAAGCTTTGATAAATCATGACATGAACATGTAATAGGTATGTAAATTTAGACTTAAGCTACCAAAGCAGTTTGCAGATATTCTGCAATCATTTATTTCAAACAGAATGTTCAGAACAAATAGTATGACAAACTTAAACAAATGAAGACCGGTGTACCTCAATGAAGTGTATTAAGTCCAGTCTTATATCTCATACACATGTGAAATCCCAGATTTAGAAGACAATACCATATATACCAAACCTATACCTTACTTTTACAGATATGACTGTTATCACTATTGAAGAAGTTCGCGAAGAAGCTAGTAGCAACATAAAGGTCCATTTAGGATCTTAATATTAGAAAAAGAAAATAATATGTCTTTATTCTTAAATGCAATAAAAAATCCAGTTTTTTTAAGGAATGATACTGTAACTGTAACTCCACTTATGCTACCTGTATACGCTGGCGAGGCACCAGTGAGTGATGATACGTGAGAATGAACTCAAGTCAGTTACCCTATCGTGGCAAATTTGCCAGAAATTAACTATGATATTTTCCAGGAGGAACCGCGTGGAATTCGACCCGATATATTGCAAACAATGAGACTTTTAGATCCCGTTACTGAAAATATATTTAACCCCACCAATAATCCAATAATTCCAGATCAACTATCAACTCCATGCGACTGATCCCTCTAATGTTGTATGTTCATAGGATAAGGTCACTATACTCATTATTCTTGTGGTATAAAAATTTCCAGTCTTTACATTGAAATCCGCAAAGAGCGATTAAAAATATATAATAAGCTTTTCATTTAACTCACGTGGTTGGCTCGTCCAAAAATATAACAGGTGGGTTGTTGAGCAACTCGAGAGCGATGGACAGTCGCTTCCTCTCCCCGCCGGAGAGTCTTTCTGTCGTTGTGTCTTTGGCTTTATCCAACCTTAACAGTTGCATGATCTCTTCCACCTTAAAACGTTATAAAAACATAATTACAGTAATGTTAATAAATTATTAAAGCAAACCTACCTGGCCTGGTGTCCGTAAAAAAATAATATCTATATACTTCATAGTTAAAATAGTAATGTAAATCTTCAGTCTTTTGAAGATATATCAGAATGAAAACTCTTGTTTTATAATCATGTTTTTACAGGCATGACAGATATGTATATATGTTTTTACAAAATGGGTATAAAATATACCCATTTTGTACAAACATTTTGTATAATATTTCGATGCGTTTTATTTTGTACATTATCGCTGCTATACGGCACGAATACAGCATACGGCAGTGCATTAAGCTCACGACAAATGTTATAATTAGAGTCCCAAAAAAAAAACCGCTTACTACAACAAAACCATTTATTTTAATCTAAAAACTAAACTACGAAACCGATTTCGATCAAATTTCTTTGAGACCAATGTGTAAGTATATCCTTTCAGATAAAAAAATAATTTTCCAAATCGGTTTAGAACTGAAAGAGTTATGAGGTAACAAACATAAAGGAACAGAGGAATTGAATAACTCCTTGTTTTTTAAGTCGATTACAAAAGGATTGGCCAATTCACCACTTATATTTGATTCAACCGTTTATTAATGCTTGGCCCATGTATTTGATCATGCACACACTTCTAAGTACTCGGTCAGGTAACCTTCAATCGAAACCCAAAAACATTAGTATCCCTTACCACAACAACTTTCTCCCGGGCAGTGATGGATGCGCCGAGCTTGAGATCGGCGGCTATGGCCATCGCTTCGCGGACGGTGATGTACGGCTGCAGTAGATCCTCCTGCATGATGTACCGCGACAGCCTCTTGAACTGGCGCAGGTCCCGCGGCTCTCCATTCGTGTATATGTGACCACCAGCGCCATCCACTCTGTAAATGGAAATATAAACAATTGAGTTATTAAAATACATATAGTCGAAGATACCGGGGGGAAAGGGATTGTTAGTAATGAGGTCTAATAGCACCGTTGCTAGCAATATACCCTATCAGGTCGACCTCCACGCAGTTCCCCCTGGAAACCATCATGGTTAATTCTTGTAGAATTCATCATGGTGGGCCAACTGACCTGCATTCATTCTCACCTATCATCTTCCACTAGTACCTCGTCGGTGTATACCGATAGCGTGAATACCGATATTCACCCATTGTTGCGGCCCCTTTGACTGGTTTTATCGCTGGCCGCTAAGACATTCTACAATTAAAACTGACAGCTTGGGACAAAACAAAAGGACTCGGACAAAAGACCGTAAAGAAGACGGACATAATTTTGACGACAAATTTGCCTTTTAATTTTTAATACATTTTGACGACAAATTCGGACCCTTTGACCTAAAAGCGGTCCATCGACCTTTCACCCATACTAAAAATAGTACAAGATACCGTGTAAAGGTGGAAACATACTATCGGGTGCATACGTAGTCGTGGCGGATGGATGCGACAGAACAATGTAAGCATATGATGGTTTTCTCTCTCTTTCTTTAGTCAAATCACATGTACTCGTATGTATGCAAAACATTCAATACGCCATATCATCGTTGGACATTAGATTCCTGAAGAAAGGATCACGGCCACGACTTAAGACCATTTATTTACATAGGTTAATGTAAATGTACTTGACTAATTGAATATTCGTCAGTAGTTTAGTTAGTAGTTTCCGCGTTTGGCAGGCGGGTTGGCAACCGCAATAGGACTTTGGAGTGGTTTTAAGAGGGACGCTGCTGCCCATCCCCCGCCCTCTCTTTGTCCTTTTACGACACCTACGGGAAAGGAAGGGGTGGCCTATTTTAAGTCGGGAGCACACGATCAACTTACATACAAGGTCATAAAAATTACCAGGATACCTTTTATACTAGTAGGTACATATTAGCATGCAACTTGTTACAATGTTTGATGGATTTTATTCAACAAATACCTAGGTGTGTATTACAATTTTTTCCTTGAGTATTTATTCTGTAAATAGCTTTTAATGTGCTTCTACAATGTAGTGATTTTAATATCTTTTTAAATAACTCTTAGCACTGAAGGGCTAATTACACCTAGTGTTGCTATATAATCTACCTTCGTTATAACCCATAAAGTTATTAACTTCCACATAAATTTTGTCATAATAACGCACATTAAAGTCTATTATTATTACTATAGAAATAATATTACATACATATGCATATACTTTTCTGAAGTGGGTTGTAAAATGAATTTAATTATTTAATTTTATTAGCAGTAATATGTTTTAATATAATAAATATATTTAAAAAATAACGTTGACCTATTACGAGTATATTGTACTGTGTGATGACTTCTTGATGATACATCATTATAGCGATTAAATGATATTGTTTATAATCGTCATTAAAGCTATTATCTGTCCAACTGCTGAACATAGGCCTTCCTCATAGACTGCTATAAGAAGCAGTCCTGAGCCGTCTGCATCCACTGCTTTGTTTATAATACTCGTGCTTAATTTCGCTTTTATCTATATTTTCTATGTACAAATTTCATTCAAGTTCCTTCAGTAGTTCGTATGAAAACCGAAAAAATGTATAGTTAATATTAAACTTTCGCGTTGTTGATATATATTTTAAATATACTATCTATCGATCGAGACTTGACGAGATGCAAATATATATATCAATTCGACCACATTACACCTTGTCTATATATAGTATCCGTGACCTCACATATTGGAGAATTTTAAATATAATAAAGTATATATGATCATTATGCAAAATATATTCAACATCAGTTTCAAGTTTGTAAGCAAATTATACACGATCAAGAGTCGCCTTAACCTCCAGTGAGGTTATGGCTGCAAACTAGTTTCCCCGCAGTGTTTAGCGTCTAAATGACTGTATTTTTATATATTTTTAATTGTCAACATACCACAATAACGCACTAGCTGTGAAATCTTGATTTATTATTGTTATAAAAACTTTTTAATTATTGTAAGCTTCAAAATGGCAGATTATAGTTAAACTACTTAAAGATGTTTGTGCCCAATCATAATAGGATCTGTATTTGTTCAACTAAGAATAAGGCAGTGTTTTCTTAATTTTTACATGGGTACAATTTATTTATTTATTTCAAAAAGCACGTTAACAGTATAAACACGGACATTAATTTTAATACGACTCTTCCTCTCATTTCAAACATACACACATTGTCACTTTCTTTTTTTTCTTTCTCTTTTAACCTTCTCGCTCACCATACATTGAACATTACAGATTTTGTTAACTGTATTCTTCTAGATAAACTTTAATTTTTTTCTTCCTGATTCCTTAGGAATGGCAACGCATGGGGGGTATCATGGGCGAAATAGTATACTCTGTTATGTCCATGGTACTGCTCATGTCTATAGGCGACGGTTACCACTTTCCATCAGGTGGGCCGTCAGCTTGTTTGCCATTCCAAGTTGTATAAAAAAAAATCATTCTGTTTAACATGTTCATATTATAACTCAATCTTGTTAATTCTGAATGTACAAATACATAGTACTAGTTCTTGTATATTGGAAGAAACTAGCTTTCAAGACACAGGTGACCCTAATTTGTAAGCCGGGCCAAAAATATGTAACAGTGCAACCCTGTATTTGTTAATAAAGGTTTTATTATACTCTACTTTAATAGGCTTCAATCCCGAGTTGTCAACCCTTATGACAAAGTTCTTAATGAGTCGCCAGTCACCATACGCCTAATTTCACTACCATTAACATGCAAGCAAGCTAATTAGAGCCAGTAACAGAGACAAAAATTTTGCTCAAATCTCTTTGATGGAATGCTCAATAGAAGTAAGTGTAGCACTGCAGTACCTGTAGCCAGCGAGGACGTTGAGCAGCGTGCTCTTGCCGGCGCCCGAGGGGCCCAGTATGGCGGTCAGCTGGCCCGACCTGAACTCGCCGTGGATACCGCGCAGGATTATTTTCGAACCTGAAACATAAAAAATGCATCTCAATTCTGGTCCTTAATAAAACTAGAACTTGTACCACAAGAACTAAGTAATATAAGAGAAACATGGATGTAAAACCTATATACGAAAACATATATAGAATTATTAAAACCAGTTTAGAAATACTGAAGATATGGAATAATACTTTTTTGTATATACCACGAAGATGGTAAACAAACATAAGTCGTCTAATGATAAACAGTCACTGTAGCCTATAGACTGTCTTATGGACGCCTATAACACTAGATGCGTCACGTGCTCGTTGCCGACCCTTATGAAATCTTAATACATCCTTTTTAAAGAACCCCATACTGTAGTCTGTAGACAGAATCTCGATAGGAAAGCTCATTCCACAGCCTCAGCGTTCGCAGGCGAAAACTCCTTGGAAACAACACTGTACATGACCATTTAAATTCGAGCATGTGAGGATGAATTCCCTGTCGATGGTAAGCGGTACGATGATAAAAGGAGGCTGTGGGCATCATTTCGAACAATTCCTCAAAACACAATCCGAGATTATTTACACCACTTTGTCCAAAAATCTCTTCAATCGACTTCAAAAAGAGAGAGCTTCTCAACTCGGTTACGTTTCTTTATATTTATTAGCACATAACTTCGTCAATTCCAGACCGATTTGGAAATCTTTTTTTATCTGAAAAAATATATGTACGGAGTTGTCCCATAAACATTTTATCAAAATTGGTTCAGTAACTTGTAATCAAAATGGTTTTGTCGCAAATGAAATCAGTTTTTTTTTTTTGTGGGCCAAAGTCTTTTTTATTTTAAATGTATACCTCTATCTTTTCCTGTTCATTTCTGCCATCTTGCATCTATGTTTGAATGCTTGTATTTCATTCTAAAGAACTTAATATTATAATTTATGAGTGTCGCAATGTATACTGTCATATCTGTGAAACTGTCCATTTCCATAGACTAAGCTCGATATATTCTTTTAGATGATCTTTCGCCGCATTCTATGTTTCTTTTTTTACAATCCCGTGTTGTAAAAAGACTTAGAATACGGCAAACGAGCATGCGGCTCACCTGAAGGTAAGTGACTACCACCGCCCATGATCAACCACAACACCAACAGCATTTAAAAAGGAATATGCTCTTTTCTTGAAGGATATGATATCGTGTCGGTTGGGAAATACTGCTGCTGGAAGTTGATTCCAAAGAGCGGTTGTGACTGAAAGAAAGTGCTTTGGAAAACGCATGGTGAAAGACCGCCACTCGTCCAGATGGTTGAAATGAAATTTTAGTTTATGGCGGATTGTACGAAAATCAGCAGCAGGTATCAAATCCGAAGTTGCGGAACAGAATTGCGACGCAATCTAGATATTTCTGCGATCTATGCGGCTATAGAAATCGCTACAACACGTGCTTACAACACATGTTGTAACCAACATATCTTTCAACAGCACAATCATAATTCCGTTGAGAAACATTTATTGTAATGTACCTAATCAAATACATATAATATCGTATCTATAACTATTTCCACACATTCAAAGTGGCCAATAACATTTCATAGCCACGTTTTACGATCCTCGGTAATGGTTGCGGTAAGAGGCGACATCTGTCAGGATGATGCGAAACTTACGAAAAACTTTATTACTTTAGATGAAATTAGCAACAAAACATAATAATATATCGATACTACACAGATACTATTATATTTTGCTCTGCAAAGAAAAATGGCGGCTCGAATGCTCCCAAAATCACATCAAAACAGAAGTAAACCCCACTGGTTGCAAAAAGAATTAACAAAATTGGTTCAGAATCGACTATGCACTCGCGTTACTCCTTTTTTTATGCAACATAGAATGACAAGCTGACGGTCCACCTGATAATAAGTGGTAATATCATCAGCCGTCTCTATAGACATGACCAGTACCATGGATTTAACGGAATATACTCTGTCGCCCATAACACCCTTCATGCGTTGCCATTCCTGAGGACTAAGTTGCTATTCCTCTGTACCCTGAATTTTCTATACCATTTTGGGTTATAACAAGCCAAATAGCCTTTCAAACCGAAACACGACCGTGCAAACAGCTGCTTCACGTAGAAACATGAATGGGATAGTTGTATCCAAGCAACTAACTTTTATATAAAATATTGCTCTGAATATGTCTACTTCAAAGCGTGTCTAAATATTGGAAGAGGATACTTTTTATCCTTGTCAACGAGCGTATTCATCTCGGTTAGGCGGACAAAGTCGCGGGTAAACACTTACTAGTTTTTAAAAGAATTAAAATTAATCATAGCAACAAAACACAGTGCATTCACGCTCGATTTATAGCGGTTGCAAAACAAGCAAACTGCAATTTCCGTGGGATGTTACAGCGGCAATTAACTACCCATTCCATTGTATGAGCTACATAGTTTTTGCTGGTGGGTTTGGCTAATAAAAAAACCTATTCATTTCTTTTGTTTCCTTGGAGTATACACATATATTATTTATTATTACGATAAGTATATAATATTCACAAGAACCCAAAAAATTATCTAATATTAACCCATGATGGCCCACTACTGGACAAAGGTCTTCTACATTTCCTTCCAAAGCTTTCTCATTCTCATTCAGCGCCACCTCAAACTAGTCCATTTTAAATGCGTCTAAGTCATCATGCTATAACTTCCTGGGCCGGCCTCAGCGACGCTATCCATCAGTAGACACGTACTGGTGTATGGGCTAACAAGCTAGCAAGGGATTAGTAACCCCTTTGCTCGCTATATACCCTATCAAGTCAACCTCCATGCGATTCCCCTAGAAACCACACGATTGATTTATTGACCTATATCATCCTCCCCTACCATCTCTAACTGGTGCTCCGCCAGCATATACCAATAGCGTCTTACATTATATATTACATTACAATAAATTATTATGTCACTCAAAAACTATTGAACAAATTTGAATGAAATTTAGTACACGAACAGGTTTGTATCCTAACATATTGGATATTTTATATACTGACTCAAGCGCTCGAAGCCGCGGTATACTATACGTTAACATCATCTGTATTAATAGTATTAAGAGGAAAGATTTGATTGTTCGTTTGTTTGTATATGTATGTAATAGATGAACTTAAAAGCTACACAACTGATTTTAAAAATCCTTTCACTTATAAAAAGCTACGTTATCAGCGAGTAACATATTATTTTCAAACTTTGTATCTATTCGTGCGAATCCGGGCTGTATCGCTTGTCTAAATTATAATTGAGCCCCAGTTGTTCATAGGCTTGTTAACAACATTATAAAGAGACACGACACCGACAGAGACTATCAATTATAAGGAAAATTATAAGTGTAGGTCCAACAACGCGCGCGGAATGGGGGCCAAGGATCAAAGTAATTTGCTTTTATGGACTCTGACACAGGCAACGCAACTATGCGTCTACAATATCATTTAGTTATTTCCCAAACTTAAGACTGTCATTCCCGATATATAATTTGATTGTTTGTTTGTTCATTATACTGCTGCTGATTTTCACCACTGTACAACCCGCCATAAACTAGTTTCATCCCAACCATCTGGACGAGAGGCGGTCTTCCACCGTGCGTTTTTCAAAACACTTTCTTCCACGCACAACCACTCTTTGTAATCAACTTCCAGCCGATTCCCCAACCGATATGACATCATAACCTTCAAGAAAAGAGCATATTCCTTTTTAAAAGGCCGGCAGCACACCTGCAATGCCGTTCGTGTTAAGGGTGATCATGGGTGGCGGTAGACACTTACCATCAGGTGAGCTGCATGCTCGTTTTCCCCCTGTGTTGTAAAAAAAAAAGAAAAAAAAACAAAAAATTGTACAAAAATGCAAATACACTGAAATTTACGCCACCATCATTATCAGTCCACAGTAGTCCACTGCTGAAAATAGGCCTCTTCCAAACTGCGCTTTTACTTTATACGGTCCTGCATTTTTCATACTCCTAGTAATACTTTAAAAGTGACAGTTTATCATATGTAATGTACATCTAAAAATAACGGTGATAGTTTTTTTTTTTTTAATGGCTTCAGGTTGGGGATCTCTTATGGCAAGAAAAATTGCGCATAAGCGTAAATCTCTCATAAGAGATATACTTCTTCCACTCAAGATTGGAAAGGGTGAGTACAGGAATTGGAATGCATGGGTCTTGATTTGTGCATTAAGATATAGGGGTATTTAGACATGGTTCGTAATAGGTAAAGGTAGGACTATTGTTGGTGGTTTATTTTGGAAGTATTTTTGTCTAGGTGTGAGTTTAGTAGAGAGGTGTGTGTTAATTGTCCGAGGATTTTAAAATCGAATCCTAGCATAAAACTTGAGAATAAATAATCTTATTCGTGTGCTTAAACTTTTACTTTTTCAAATTCGTATTTGGGTAATTTAACCAAAATAATTAGGTACTTGCTTCTTGCTATCACGTAAAGCTGTCGTCCCAAAGACAGCCTAAAAACTTATAACTCTATAGAAGGCCATCCTTATACGAGTATATTATTAATAATAGTGATGAATAGCAATAATCTAATTAAGACTTGAAAAAACTCTAAGTCTCATAGACTAGACATAGTGACAGAACATGCTCAAGTTTTGCTTCGTAACAGAATTCCAAACAGCATAAAATAGATTCCAATATGACCGACATAAAGTAGATGTTTTTTCTATTCACATTTAATCAGCAAACGGAAGCGAGAATCAACGGACCTGTTAGAAACAAAAAAGGTAATGGTACATTGTAGGTGACCGCCACTAAATGTAGCGACAACCACAAAGAAAAAGACATTTTTAAAAAGACCACCTATACAATTTTAATAACACTTGTAGTTTTTTTTTATACAACTTAGAATGGCAAACAAGCTGACGGCCCACCTGATGGAAAGTGGTAACCGTCGCCTATAGACATGAGCAGTACCATGCACATAACAGAGTATACTGTTTCGCTCATGATACCCCCATGCGTTGCCATTCCTGAGGACTCAGATGTTAT